ACACCACAGAAAAGAGCGAAGGTGATGATGACGAACGGGTTAAGGAGCGAGGCCAAGAACGCGTTGGGGGTCAGCGCAGCAATCATCTGAGCGAGAGTAACAGAGAACATCTCGGTGATGAGGACCATGAGGAATTGGTAGCCGGCGCGGTCAGAAACACTGCTGAAACCGGGAGGGAAGTAGAGGCAGACGAAGAAACCGACGGCGCAGATGATGCTGTACGGGAGCTCGGCGACGACCATGGACAATGCGAAGGCGAATTGACCGTACATCTTCGATGACTGCTCACGGTAAAAAATCAGACGTGCCATATCGTACTTGGGCTCGACCTGAGCGAGAATGAGCGACGGCAAGATGGTGACCTGGAAGAGAACGAAGACACGGTACTGGAGGCCGGAACGGGAATTATCGAGCTGCAAGAAAACAAGACCGGTGAGAAGAGCAATGGCGACGTGGTTGAAGAGACGGGTGAAGCCATAGTTGGGAGTACGCCAGAAAGAAAGGTTAGTACGCTTCATGACCATGCTGATCTGGAAACCAAGAGGTGTAGCGTATTCCTTCTCATCGACAACCGGGTTGCTTCCAACATCCGCAATGCGTTCATCCTTCATGCGCACAATCTCAGCCTTGACGTTTGCGAGTTCCTCGGATGACCTCCAGATGTCTGCCCAGTCACGGTTTCCAATACGGGGAGCCTGACCAGCACCGATGGCATCCAACATCCACTCAGCAGGGTTGGCAGTAGGGGGACAGTGAGCACCGTGCTTGCGGAAGTACGACAAGAGAACCTCAGCATCCTTTCCGATATCACCAAAGTAGACACAGTTACCACCACGCTGCAACATCAAAAGACGGTCAAAGTTCTCGAAGAGGGAGGCGTTCGGCTGATGGATGGTGCACAGAATAGCTTGACCGGCCTTGGCCAACTTCCTCAAGAAACGGACAATGTTGAAGGCGGACTGGGAGTCGAGACCAGAGGTAGGTTCATCCAAGAAGAGCAAGAGCTGGGGCTTAGCGGCAAGTTCGACACCGATAGTAACACGCTTGCGCTCCTCGACAGCCAAACCGGAAGTAGGGTCGCCAATGATAGCATCCGCAATGTTCTCCATCTCCAAAAGCGCGATAACCTCCTCGACGTAAGCATCCTTCTCCTCCTTGGAAACCTCGAATGGCTGGCGAAGATAAGCAGAGAACCTGAGTGCCTCTCTGACGGTCTGGGTGGGCTCGTGAGTGTCCAATTGTTCGGCGTAAGAAGTTCCTCTCTGGAAAGCAGTACCCTTGGGCATACCATCGACAAGGACATCACCAGTGATCACACCAATACTCTTCCTGCTAGCCAACACATCCAAAAGCGTAGTCTTACCAGCACCAGAAGCACCCATGAGCGCAGTCAACTGACCAGGCTTGACATATCCGAAAATCTCGTTCAACAGGCGGAGCTGACCACCGGGAACAGGGACCTCGTAGACCAAGTTCTCCCAGGTAAGGACTGACTTTGACTCAATGTTAAGACCGGAATCATCAGCGGCGGACTCAGTCTTCTGGCGTCTGCGCTGCTTCTTCTCCTCGAGCTTCTCGTTGAGTGACTTGCGCTCGGCGTTCTCCTTGGCATAGAATGTGACAGTCTTTCCACCGGCTCCGAAAGAGAAGTACTCTCCGAGAAGGGCGTTGGCGGCAAGGAAGGCAGCGATCAAAACGACAATGATACCAAAGTTGCGCCAGAGATCCTTAGGCTGGTAGTTGAAGGAGAGCGAGATGTAAGAGCCACCATCGATCTGGTCAGAACCAGGCTGGGAACCAAGAAGAGTGCAGGTCTGGTAAATAAGGTTGTTGTAGCCGGAACCAGAGGGAACAAGCGACTCGGCACCACAGGTGAGCGTCAAACGTTTGAACTCGTTCATCATGAGCGCCGCGAAACCAAGACCGAGACCGTTGATGTAGAAGATCCATGAGACCCACTTGCCCTGAGCAGGGTAGGGGATCATATATCCGGAAGTCAAGACAAAGAGTGTGATAATGATGGCCGCAAACTTCATGGCATAATCGAAATCAGGGCAGACACAACCGACAGTTCTGAAGAAGAGTGTCATAGCCAAGTACCCAGAAATGATAATCAAGAAGAAGGTGAAAAAAGCTCCAGCATCCCGAACAAGCCCACACATAAAGTAGACAATAATACTGAACACCATGATCTGCGCCGATGCAAAAATCAGATCGACTCCAATCTGTGCAATCCATAATGCTGAGGGCCGATGAAACGTGTATGCCTTGTGCTTGTTGACAATTTGCCGACCCATCATAGTAGAAGCGAGCTCAGAGAAAGCCTGGAAAGCGTTGAACAGAAGTGCAATAAACAGAAGACCACCACGAGTGAAGGCACCGGCAGAAGTTTTCGGGAGATCGAGATAGAGAGTACCAAGGACGATAGCAATAATGATAGAAGTGATCCATGAAACAGTAAGAGAGAACTTGTCCTGCCACTTGAGCAAGAACTGCCTCTGAGCGAGCGCCCAGACCTGTGAATAGAAGGGAATGGTGTAGACGGAGGTCTTGTTGGCACCCTTGCGCTTCTCCTCAGTGACAGCAACCTCAAAGTCCTCGTAGCTCTCGGCACGGAGCTGCTCACGGTACTGCTCCATTTCCTGGTTGAGGCGGACGTAGTGGGGAGACTTGTGGAAAGCCTCCTCAAGAGCCTGCGGGCTGGAAGGAACATCACGTTCGCTGCGGCCGGGGGCATATTCACGCTCGAACTCGTCGGTACACCCAGTCAAGTAGTCGGGGGTGGTCTGACGAGGGCGGGGCAAGAAACCGAGACCCTCAAAGTAGGCACGACCCTGGTCAGCAGGACCAAAGAACACCTCCTTTCCGGCATCGATAACAAGGACCTTGTCGAACTGGGAGTAGATGTTCTCAGAAGCCTGGTAGAGCGAGACGAAGGTGGTGGTCTTGTAGATGTTGGTCATGATACGGAGGGACTTGACATAGTCGAGCGCAGTCGAGGCATCGAGACCACGGGTTGAGTTATCCCAGCAGCAGACGGTTCCCTTGGTAATCATCATCTCGGCGATAGAGACACGCTTCCTCTCACCACCAGAGACACCACGAACGAATGCGTTACCGACAATGGTGTCGATGGTGTGCTCGATGTTGAACATCTTGAGGAGCAGCTTGATGATCTTGTCCTTGAAATCTGCCTTTGACATTCCCGCGGGCCTCTTGCCGGGGGTCTTGGTGTCCAGCGCAAAGCCAAGAGTCTGCCCAACAGTCAAGGTAGGATGATGAACGTCGTCCTCCTCATTATAGACAGCCTCTCCTCTATACCGCTTGGCGAATGTATCTGCGCTGAACTTTCCATAGAGAACCTCGCCGTCGACCTTTGTGTATCCTGTGCGCTGGTTGGCAATGACCTTCAAGAAAGTTGTGCACCCGGATCCAGGACGTCCGAGGACGAGAACCATTTCACCGGGCTTGACAACACCGCGGAAGCCATTGAGAATGTCGAATTCACGACCCTTCTTGTTGAGACCGAGGATGGAGGATGCGGTTGCGAAAACATTGAAGAAGCCGATAACTGCGTCGGGGAAGGTTGCAATGAAGTTCTTGACACCGCCGATACCAGATACTGTGAGGTCTTGCCAGATGACACCTATTATTGCCGAATACTGATTAGCAAAACTACTGAAAACAATGCCTACTAGCACCACAACTACAACTACCACAAACAACCACAATCACAACCACCACTATAGCACTACCAAAAAGAATAATCAAACATACCAATGTGCTTCGGCCTAATTCCTGCAGCCCTCTCCTCACTCTCATCACCCCTCAAATGCCCCTCCAAATCAAACTGCTGCGCCGCGGCCTCCTCCTCCTCAAACTTCTCCGGATCACCGCCCTTGTGGCTCTGGCTCCTCGACAGTCTGCGCGAGTGCCTACTCGTCGTCTTTGACAGCCCCGAAAGCTGCCTACTCAGCTCCTGAAAGTCCGCTTCGGCGGCGGCAACGTCGACGCCATGGCCCAAATTTGAGTCTCCACGCGGGTTCTGCTGGCGGCTGGTCTCAATGTCGTCGACGATTGTGTCGCCCGAGGTTGAGGTTGCCGTTGAGTGCGGTGGCAGTTCCGACATGATTGCTGTGGGTGGGGGCGTGTGAGGTTGTACTATGTTGGTGGTAATTGTTGCTGGTTATATATATGTGGTGTGTGGTATATATATAAATGTGGTTGTGAATTATTAGGGATGGTAGTTAGTATAGGTATTTGGCTATTCTCCCCGGGTATTAAAGAGTGAACGAGTTGGATTTCAATTAAATAAATAAGTGCTAGGAATTAGATGGAGAGCCAAAACCACCTATCTGCAATGCAATAGAAGCAAAGAACGGAAAGATGAAGTAGGAAGGAAAGGGAAATCGAGAAGGAGGAGGGCGAAGAGGTTATCTATATGTAGAGCATGGCCATAGCCTTCGTACGGGGGTGTGAGAAACAGTGATACTGGGGGGTAGTAGGGGGATACCGGGGGTTCCAGACTTTCTTGCCCCCAGAAGCGAGAGAATTTACCAAGTACATCCACATCCATATCCATAGTGGGGCCCTATTTTTTTTGATGAGATTTGATCTAATAATTCGGGAACACCACATCCGAAGACCCAAGGAAGAAGATGTGGGAAAAAAGGCTGGCTGCATGCATGCAAGGTAGAATAGCTGTAAGAAGAGCATGTAGTTAGACTGCGGGCGGCTTTCGGCCAATAATCTCTAGCTTGGCTTGGTGTGGGTAGGGTTAGCAATGAGTCGTAGGGGACCCTTGCTGACTTATGATTCGGGAAGGGTTTTTATCGGCTGCAAGAGAAGAATCAATCGAACACACACTCACCCAACCCAACCTGCATGAGCAGTGATATCCACCATGAGTAACAACCTCTCCTCCACCACACCCAGAAGAGCATAGTGGTAGTCATACCCAATATTACACATCCCACTGTACCTGAATCAACCAACCAAAGCTAACCCCTACGATCAACCTCATACATCCATACACCCCCATGGCCCATAGAACGGAGTTTCTATGATCCGCAATTAGTAGCTACATCTCACCTACCACATACATGCACATACAAAGGGACGTAACCCACCCGCGCCAATCTAACGTTCTCAATTATACCTCTAACAGATCTCGGGATATCAGATTTCCGGGAGTGACATCTGGATAACGGAATATTCCCCTCCCTGGGGTTTCAGAGGTCAATTGAGAGGTATATGGCAGCTCTATGCATATTAATTGAGCTTATTATAATTCGTATATATTCCTGCATACAGGTAGGTATCTACATACCAATTGATTGAGCGCATTCGTTGTTGGCCCGTGGTCAAAGCTCCTACTTCATCAATTGCTTTTGATAGTGACCAATGTCGAGCTGTCCCAAATCCAGAATTCCAATCCACTTGATAACCGGTTATCTCCCACACATGCACACAGGGAGACACACACATGCCCACCTGTAAACAAAGCAAAGCAGCCAGCCAGCCGGGCAGCCACAAACGTCACTAGCGCGCACCCACGGATAATTCCTATCCGTGTTTCATGAGGCGGCGAAGCTTTTTCTCTCTGCTGAGCAATCTTGCAGTTGACAAACACTCCTTCTTGCATGGAAGGTTCCCTGCCCTAAGCCCAAAACATACCCGGCGGCCAAAAATCTCCCCGGCGCGGCGATGACATGCAGGCATTCATGGAGTGAAGTCTGCCCGACGGGCACGGGAAATGGGTGGTTTACTATAAAAGTACGTAACTCGAGAGTGCATGGACTAGGTTGAGATTTCGCCTAAGTAGTAAGAAGTATCTATTTTTCTATGCCTCTCCTCCTCGGCCCATTCTGTATGTAGGTAGGTGTAGACGGACAGATATCAGGCACTCTATTTCTCGTGTGCCTGTTGTGCTCTGTAGATCCAATTTGCAGATTGATTCCATCTCCCTTCCACAGAGATGCGTAGAAAACCTGCTGCTGCACAAAACATCTAACTTTTTCGTAGCTGGTAGGCAGTGGTAGCTGGCACCCTACCTAGAATACTAGCGTCCCAAAGAGCATAAGTACCTTGATTTTTCCCTTCAGCTTTCTTCCAGCTTCGACTCCCCCATTCATGACGAAGCACCATAGATTCAGAGTCCAAAGAAAAGAAGGCAAAAAAAAAGAAGCTTCTTCGGAATCACCTCTATCCGCTATGCTGCTCAGGTAAGACAGACACAGAAAACAAGGGCGTTGTGACGACGTTGGTTGATTCGTAATCGCTTGGCACTAAAAAAAAACCCACACCCATCGGATGTCGGATACGGCGCATCCGTCAACCCTACCTTATTTCGACATTGTTGCGGTTGCGGCGAAGCAGTGCAGCTAGAACTAGAGAGGCCAAGACACAAATTTTATCTGAGAGCCGCTTACGGTACCGTATCTGCTGTAGCGCCTCTTTTTGCTTATCTGCGGTCTCTCTCTTAGCTTTCTGTCTGTTCTGTTCTGTTTGATGATGAGGAAGTCCTGCTGAAGGGTAGGGGTTTCCTTGTCTGTAACATTCCCTTGAACTGCTGCTGTCTGCAGTCTTCTTCCTGCGATTTGGGAGGATGAATGGAAGGCCCAAAGAAGCCCCTTATTCCACCCCCCTCCACTCGCCCCTTTCCCGATATCTTGCAATTGATGATAAGATCATCCATCCATCCACCCATCCAGGTGCTCTACCAGTGTTAGAATAGCATTGCTCATTTGTCAGTCGGAAAGATGTGATGATAATCCGCTCCTGATCCCACCCACTGCACTGCATTACTCATCCACTTCTCGTTCCAATGCCTTGTTTCCTCCCGCATAAACACCTCTCTACTGCACATCAAATACCGTGCAGCATTGGCAGTGGCATTGTACTGCGCAGCCAATCGGCAAAGCTCCCCCTCCACATTCTTTAATCCGTTGCAGTTCGTCATGATCACCCCACTCACTCACACCCCCAATGACTCTTCCGGCTGTTCATGTAACGTTGAAATAAGAATAAGGATAAGGTGCAATTCCGTGCGTGGTGGTGTCATGATGTTATTGCACAAAAGGAAGGAAAACGAGATTCAGATCCAGTTGAGATGGGCAGGGTTGGCACTGGAGAGATGGGAGATAATCTGGATAGATGGACCCGGATGGGAGCTGTCCCACTTTCCTGCCTAATTAGAGTAAACAAAAAGTGACTTGTGTCTACCAGCTACAGAGCCTACCTGTCGGCTTCGACCCGAGCGCCCTGCAGAGACTACATTCCTTTGGACTCGTAGAGTGCTTTGTCAACAAGGCTTTCATGCGCTCAGGTTCCTGTCCCCATGTAGCTGTAGCCAGCTCGTCGACTTCGCACATGCTGTTGGTTCGCTGCTTTCCTGCCTGTTTGCTCGGTTGAGGTTGAAGCACGTGCTCGGTACATAGTGAACACTGAAAACTCATATCGCTCCCACCAAGGCGGCCATTGAAGATCGAGTATAGACACCGCCTACTACATGTAGTAATAGTTGTGCCCGAGCTCGAGTAACGGCGTTCACGGGAACCAGGCAATCTACTGGTTCTGAAGAGGGAAGGAGGACGGGTTCGATTGATTGTGTGATCCTTGTAATTAATGAAAGTTTCACACCTCAAGAGTAGGCTGTTCTCCACGGCGAGTGAGTTTCTTTCGACGTGTCCTTCACTGGAGACGAGCAAGCATGCCTCATCCTCGACCTGATCACGAACCTGCCTGCGCGGGTAAAAGGCTAAACCACCAAAACCCCAAGTCAATGCCAAAGCTTCTACTCTACAATCAATTCCCTTTCTAGTACCTCAGGTATCGTCAACAATGTTTCCAATTGCACCAAATCTATAGTACGATTCGCATATCCATCAGAATCCGTTAGTCTTCCCCGACGACAATTAATTAAGACCACGCAACTCCGTACCTCCGATCAGTCATCTGCAATTACTCATCCAGCTGCAGTACTATAAATTAATTGTACCTACATGCATGCCGTATCGATAGCTAAGAGCCCCTCTAAGAATTGCATGTATGTAGCTAGTCCCTAACGTAGAGTACGTAGTACTCGTCCTATCGCGGCATTACTCATTATCAACAACTATCCCTACCTACGGCGGAAACAGAAACACTACTCCACTGACCTTCTTCCCCACGGGACCACAAGTACCCGGGTAAGACCACTCTCGGAATACAAGCTTCCTGTGCATGCGCTAATCCAACCACAATCCGACCCACAACCCTTACCCTGAGCTGACATGACAGCCGGCTCGATCATTTCCAAAATGCAACCGCCAATTCCAAAACACCAAGACAAAATATTAATGCACTCTCTTTTCAATTGATGACTCAAAATCATAGACTCTTCGTATTACATAAATGCACCACTATCCATATGCTGCAGCCCATACTCTAGGCCTCATTTGTGCACTTTGTTACTCATACGTGCGATATATATGCAGCCGGCCGGAATATCCCACGAACCGATTCCACACAGAGTGAGGTCGGTCGGGAACGGGACATGGGCGTATCCGCACTGAATGCCGCTTTCGGGATCGCAACCCTAGCCCTGGTGGAAAAGGAGTTGAAGTTGGTTCCGATTTGATTGATTGGTGAGTTGAGGGATTGATGAGTTGAGTGAGTGCATAAAGTACCGCCAAAACTCGAAACATTGGCTATCTCCGTCCAGGGATTACGATTCGAGTGATTGGTTGAATGGCATCGATCTGCATAAGAAGTTTCCCATAGAAGTAATTTTGATCTAGCCAATTTTTCGAGTTATGGCGGTATGTAGTTAATGTGCATCCTATCCGTTTTGGAGTCATTATGAAAAAGCTTAATTGACATTATATTGAGATCTGGGTTTTCATGTGTGAATGACTGCATTATGAAAATGTCGCAGAGCGAGGACAAAGCCACCGCCCCGTGACTTGTTCTTTGACTCAGCTTTGACTCTGAGAACGCCCGCAGACCGCGATTATTGCACGTCCTGGCGATGGGAGCGGGAGGTGTTGTTATCCGAGCGCAGACATACATATGTATATGTGGAAAGATGAGTGATGATTGGTGTAGTAGAGCAGCACGATGTGGATGCTGATCGATACGACCTCGTAATTGAACCACCTGGGTAATCGAATTAAGCAGTACCGAAAGATCAATTACGATCTGATAAGACTAGTAGACGGAAACAATTATACCGAGCGATTTATGTATTCAACTCAATTTGTACTCGACCTTCCGGCACTATTGGTAGCGGAGCATGTCACAGCACTCGTCCTCGTTTGTGATTCAATCATGAAATATCACTCGACTTCGGTGTGGTTTCCGTATATCTAGTTTTCACCGACGGAGAAGCAATATAACGAAAAATAAATCTTGTAATACATACACTTTGTTACCTAATAGAGTCCGGAGTAAGTAAATAAATACCCTTCTGGTCTGGCGGGCGTCCCCTGATGACATTACTAGTATACGAGCACATCGCGCAAAAACACCCGATAGGTATAATTGTACAAGCACTCTCCCAACCCTGCGCAAAACACTTAAATACCCGAATCAATAAGACCTCACCCCTTCACACTTGAGCTGTCAACAGACCCCATTTAAACGAACAAACAACCTTCTGCGCGTGCTCACGATGAATAATCATACCCAACCCTCCACAAAGGCGTTGACAGTAATGGATAAAGGGATAGGTATATAGATAGGCCAAACAACACAACGTTTCCCGCTATCAACAACCCTGTCCTGTCATCAATGACAGGTCGCTAATATCGGTCGAGTGACCACTAATGATTGCGTGCACTGCCGATCCAACCGCCAACCCTAACCCACCCGAGCTGTCACCAAAACCGACTCCTGCGCTCCATTCCGGTGTTTTCTAAATATCCGATTTGAGGGCTTAATTGTTTCACGATAACGATGTTATCTTATCCATCCATCCACGGCGTAGTCAGTCGTCTTGTTACGGCTGGCTGGGTAGCCCCTGACGAGAATGAGCTAGCTTGCCCGAGAGCCGGAAATAAAACACCCTTTCAAAGCGGGAATGGGCCGTGGGGGGGTGGGGGTATATAGATACAAGTAGCTCCCTATGGTCCGCCTGAGCTGTCACCATGTCCATATGATTCTGAGCCAGCTCGCTTCGAGTCATTCCATCAGTACGATTACTGCGTTCTTCAACAGCCCTCACAGATACCTTTTTTAGTGGCAAACAGTAGCTATACGTCGCTCCAGTTTTGCATGTCACCAACATTCCCGAGCTCTCATGGGAAACAACGACCGCCGGCCTGAATATCAATACCCCCCGAGGTAGTCGGAACATACCCAAATCCTCCATCCACCCACGTACCCAATCCGGCCAAACCGCAGACTCTCGTGATAATGATAGTCCATCCTCCAAAACATCCGCAATGATTACTCACTGTACGGCGCGGCCCGGACCCAGTCCCTATGCGTACGTTTCAATCAAGTGCAACTCCACTCCGGATCGATCCCTAATTACTACACCACCTTCGAATTCCTGTCAAGAATCTCACTGAGCAAGTAACCGTATTATCAATCACCATATATCCACACACGCAGAAAAAAAAGTTTCGTTTCGGCGCGGTGTTTCCTCATATCTAGGTAGCTCGCTGTGCATCGTAAACGGAACTCCACTACCCACCCCAGTCCTAGGAACCCTGCACCCCTATTTCCCTACAACTGGCACAGGCTTTCGTGCGCGCCGATAAGCTTACATACCACGCAGCCAGCCTGTAGATCCCCACGGCACATCAGTGAGTAATCAGGCAGATATATCACTCTACTACCCTTATCCTTCCTTCCTTCCATCCTTCCTTCTAGTAGTAGTTTCAATCACCTAATCGCACACCTCGCAGCCGTGATCTGATCAGTGATATGATATTACTTCTCTCTCCCGTCGGCTTGGGCTGGTTCCGGGACCGTGGGGGGAGTAGGGAGCGGGAAACTTGGTGTGCCGTGTGCCCCTATTTTTGGTGGGTGTCGGCCGTGCGTTGGTTTTCGGGATCGGGATGCCGTGGTGAATCGAACCCCTTTTCGCCGGTGCCGAGTCAACCCCCTTTTCGGTTCTACAATGTGAATCATGGGTGTTTTCTCGAGTGATCTATGAATAGAGCCCCACTATCGTACTGACCGTAGTAAAAAGTAGTAGTAGTCTGCTGGAATTAGAACCGTCTCTGGCGTGAAAAAAATATATGATTCCCATCTCCTATGTCCCCTTTCTTCCCCATCAAAGGTGCTCTCAATTCCGAACCCATAACCGTCCGTAGAATGCCGAAATAATCCGCAAACCCGACCGAGGTGTTATCGCTGCCGAAGCCACTGCCGTCCTGGGGCGTGGTGGGGCGTGGTGGGGCGTGGGGGATGGGTTCGATAACCTAATCCTAATCTTCCCACACAAATTCGAGACAGTCGTAGCTACTCTAGTGATCATTGACCGTTTATCCTTAGCTGTATCCAGGTAAAATATCCCCAATATCCGCCATATATTCCGTCCACCACTACCACCACCACAATATGAGCATGAGTTGTTATTGTTTGTCGAAAGCAAAGAAATATGGCAGTCGTCCCAGGTGGGAACGTGATATATAGCTATTGTAGAAGTCAATGTGGTAGAAGAGAGCCGGGGGGGGGGGGGGGGGGGCAGAGCGAGAATTTGTAGTGGATAGAGCCCAATACTCATGGGCCCAAGTTAAGATACCCAGAATTCAACTCCAAGCTGATGTATGCCCTACCGCCCACGATTCCTGATGCCACAAGTGGAAGCCCTGGCCTAGACCTCCATCATTAGCACCCACGATCGATCGGCACCCCCCAGGACGGCCAATGTTTGACGTCTGTCGCTCCCAAACCAGCCCGAACACCATAAACAAAACCCACCCAGCCCACTTCCATCATGCGCGAGCGAGCGAGCAGCTCTTATATATCCCGCTAGGTTGATGTACTTTCACGTCACTCTCTCACATGCAGAAAAGAAAAAACAACACAAATTGATCACCGGTCCGGGTGTTTTACTCATGAGGAATGTGTACTCCGTCGGAAATGAAACATTTACAAATCGATCGGAGGAAAGAAAAAAAAGAAACCGTCACGTCAGAGTCGCTACGTAGCTAGGTACATACGGTCGATCGGGATATTCGAAAAGAGCTCACATGCATCATCTCTCGGGGGTCAGGATTGGGGGGGGGGGGGGAGATTTCCGTCCACGAAGATCATCAGAGGATTCTTCGTGATTTGATGCGATCGGAGCTTTTGTGGATGATGGGGCGTGCAGCTGCTGTTACGAGCTTTGGATCTCGGGTATGTAGCGATCGCATAGCTTGGACGTTGAGGTCTATGTATCTGTATCACGGAATATTTTGTGCAGCTAGGTTACGTATACGCATCCGCTACGGTGAGACCAGTGTGTCCTGATGCTGCCTGCCCTTCTGTAAGCTAGGAGGAGGAGGAAGAGGAGGAGGTGGAGGAGGAGGAGGAGGTGGAGGAGGAGGAGGAGGAGGAGGAAGAGGAAGAATTTGTGTCTCTATCCATTGATCCAAACTACCCAGCTATTCCACCAACACACTCGTTCCTGTCCCCCATCACACTCCATCACTCGAGTTCTCTGTTAGATATTGCAATCCCAACTGAGCTTAAACCGGCTCCTTAATCCCGAATCTGCGGCAACAACCGTTTTCTGTAAAAGGAGGATGCCGCCCCTAAACAACTCGCAATTCCCCCAACCGCGTAATAGCAGCTACATTTAAGCCAAATCTCACGACTGACACGCAAATAACACAAAGTACCCATGAGAGCTAAAACATCGTGTATTGCCATAGAACATCTCTAGCTCCGGCAATTGAAGTGCCGCGCTATGACCATCCAGTTGACGTTGACCCATTCTGCCATGCATGCAAGCAACGTGCGAACGAGAGCCCCAAACCAAAGAAACGGTATCTCCGCTTAACTAACCTTAACTTGCTTGTAACCTTCCGCCAACAGCACTGACATGCCCATCTCACCCCCCCCCCCCCCCTTTTTTTTTTTTTTTTTACCGGGTGCTCTGCCCTATTGGCGCAGGAACAGAACTCCACCTCTAGATCTGGCTTGTCTTCGGTGCACACTCACTTCGGTCGCCTCTTGTCTCTCGACGACGCTTGAGGCTTGCCCCCAGTGGCTCGAGAGGGAAACTACACCGCGGGCGCACAACTCCTATTTTTTGTTCACGAGGTCTGTGAGAAACAACTCCCAAGCTCGAGCTGCCGTATGGGAAAAGGGTACTGAAGACGTGTAGGTAAAGTGCTTCTACTCTACATGGACAGATGCGGCATTGTCGCGGGAAGAGAGAGACATGCGTTGTCTAGCCCTATGCACACTTGAACTCTTGAACTTGCGAAATGCGAACAAGATCTTCCCCTGATTCAACAGAAGGGACAAACAAACTATGCAAGATCCGATTCTCAACCGTTTTTTCCCCCATTTCGCCATCGAAGATCGATAGGGTTTGGGAACGAAAGGAAGCAAAAAAAAAAAAAAAGAGCTTTCCCAACTGCTTTGGTGTGGGGCAAACCGATGGTATTGAAGCTATTCGGAATCGGAGATGAGGGGGGGTGCAGATCTCAATGCCGAGAGGGGGACCCGTGTGTCTAAAATGTCTTGCCCGGCGACTCCCGTTCGGCGGCACGGGGGACATGCTCAATCAGCGCTCAACCACCGTTGATCAGGTACCGTTTTCGGCGTATCGAAATGATCTATGGGTTTGCGATGCTGTCTGAGAAGGCAAAAAAGAACAATTACCAACTACTGCAGGAACGAGCATGTCTAAGCTTTTTGCGGGCTCCTGAATGACCTTCAAAGGCCAATGAGTCTTTGGGGAGGGAATATATAGTGAGTGACTTCTCCCCCGAATCTGTTTCCTTCGTTCCTCATCAGCTTCAATCCAGCTCGACCACTCCCACACTCTTTATTCCACCCCCTCGAGGTTCGCTCTTTACTGACCTCTTACCAATTTCCAAAAATATAGACACTCTTTTTCTATACCTTCGCTTTCTACTACACATTCAAAAAAGTATTTTTTTATTACTCAACAACCTAAATATAATCTTTAAAGATGCGTTACTCTATGGTATTGGCAGCTATTGTCTGCGCGACAACTTTCGTCTCCGCCGCCCCTTTGCCCTTGCCCCACGGCCCCGACGTCGCTCTCCCTTGTATTGATGACTGTGTCAAGAACCTTGTGGGAAACAACGTCGAGAACAACACCGAGGGTCTCCCAGAGCTTCCAAGCGGATCTGATGTTCCCAGCGGTGGAGCTCCTGCCGTCCCCAACGGCGGTCTCCCATCAGCACCAACTGCTCCGGGTCTCCCCCACCCAGATGGCGGTCTCCCATCGGCACCAACTGCTCCGGGTTTCCCCCACCCAGACGGCGGGATGCCTTCTCTCCCAGGATCCCCCGTAGCACCCGGATCACCCGAGTCTGTGAACACTCCTCATGCACCCAACGTCCCGGGTAGTCCCCACGATGGTCTTCCATCAGCCCCGACTGCTCCAGGTTTCCCCCACCCTGACGGCGGCCTCCCAACTGGCGGCCTCCCAACTGGCGGTCTCCCAACTGGCGGTCTCCCAACTGGCGGTCTCCCAACTGGCGGCCTCCCAACTGGCGGCCTCCCAACTGGCGGTCTCCCAACTGGCGGTCTCCCAACTGGCGGTCTCCCAACTGGCGGCCTCCCAACTGGCGGCCTCCCAACTGGCGGTCTCCCGACCGGTGGTGTCCCAACTGGCGGTGACTCTTCGGTCCCAGGTCTAGATGGCATGCCGGGCCAGTCCAACGAGTCCAATGGCATTAACGTTGTCCAGATCAACACTGCCGGTAGCCTTGTTTCCGGACCTACCGATGGTCTCTCTGGGCTTCCAATTGGCGGTGCCCCCGGACTCCCATCCGGCGGTCACTCCGATGAGGGCCACGACCATGACAGCCCCGTCACCATCCCCGGTGACGAGGGCGATGACAGCGACCACGAGGGTGAGGACAGTGACAACGAGGATGATGACAGCGACCACGAGGGCGACGATGAGGGTGTCACCACCCCTGGCGACAGCGACAACGAGGACGACGACAGCGAGGAGGACGGTAGCGAGCCTTCCGGCCATGGAACTCCCTCAGTTCCATCTGTCCCGTCGACTGATGCTCCCTCCCACCCATCTGTCCCATCGACTGGTGCTCCCTCAGTCCCATCTGTCCCATCGACTGGTGCTCCCTCAGTCCCATCTGTCCCGTCGGATGATGCTCCGTCCCACCCATCTGTCCCGTCAACTGATGCTCCCTCCCACCCATCTGTCCCATCTGCCCCGTCGACTGATGCTCCCTCCCACCCATCTGTCCCATCTGTCCCGTCGGCTGATGCTCCGCCCCACCCATCTGCCCCGTCGACTGATGCTCCCTCCCATCCATCTGTCCCGTCTACCCCATCCACTGATGCTCCCTCGGTCCCAGCTACCCCTGAGCACCCTGTAACTGATGGGAATGCCCCATCTATGCCTGAAGGCGGTGATTACACTCACCCAGAGGGTGGCCAGACCAACGAAAGTAATGGCATCAACGTTATCCAGCTCAACAACGCCGGTGGGCTCGTCGGTGCTCCTTCTCCCAGTGGCCTCCCATCCGGCAGTGACCTCCCATCCGGCAGTGACCTCCCATCCGGTGGTGACCTCCCATCCGGTGGTGACCTCCCATCCGGTGGTGACCTCCCATCCGGTGGTGACCTCCCATCCGGTGGCGCTCCTTCGGTCCCCGCCGGTGGTGCTCCTTCGGTCCCCGGTGCCTCTGATGTAACTTCCGAGCTCCCCCACGTTGAAAACCCTGTTCCCTGTGTGGGCGAGTGCCTCGGAAAGGCCACTGACGGCGCTCACCTTCCTGGTGCCCCATCTGCCCCATCTGCTCCTCACTGTAAGTTCTATGCCTCTAGTCTACAATGCTTGAATCATACTAATGTGAATATAGTCCCCGATGTCATTCCTGACAAGGAGGTCTCCGTTGCCGACTGCAGAGACAACAAAGTTGTTTCCGTTAAGAAGGAGGGTCACGAGGTTGAGGGTGAGGTTGTAGGATACGAGGTTGAGGCCGAGGGCAAGCACGAGCACCCCGATGCCGAGGGTGCCGCGAAGGGTGCTAAGGAGACTGCCACTGGTGACATCCACCAGGATAAAGAGGTTGATGCTGGTACCGCTGAGGTTGAGTTCGAGAACCACAACAACGATGACTAGATTGTCTGTCGTTGATCGAATCGTATCATGTTGTGTATTATTTTCCCTATGTCCTAGGTTGAAAGATCTAATGGTTGTTTTGTAATCACTTGCACTTTTTTTTATGTGGAATAGTTCTCACACAGTCCTTTTTGTTGTTTGTTGTTTTTTCTTCGATTCGTGTATCATTTTTAGTGGAATTGAGCGAGCTTGAAGGTTGATTATTAGACATGAAATTCAGTTAAATTTGTCCTCAAACCTTTTTTTTTTTTTTGAAGCTCTTGGTCTTGTCACTAATTATTAATTGTTTCTACTTGGGTTGTTGGTATTGGTCATCCTTGCTGGTCATCGTGATTTCCTTGAGAACAATCTGAACGAGATCAAAACTTAACCTTACCGCTGAGAGTCTTTCAGCGGAATTAAACCCTAACCCTGACCAATCCTCACAAGTAATAGATATTCTATTCATCCATGATACAGCTTACTTAGCGCTCTATTCCGAGAAGACTAGTGATCGTCAACTTCTAGATGGATAAAATAGAGTACCACGGATGGAAACATACCGGCAATATTCAGGATCTTATTTATATAAGCGATTAAAAAATGATGTAATTGCGCAGTGGAGCGTTGTCTTGTTTACTGGTCCGCCATGATACAGTCTGGGTTTTTCTTGTCCGCTTCGAACATGCAAATTATATCTTGAGATTGGTAATGATCATTCTGACAACTAATTGTAAAAATTACAGGGATTTGTTCCGGGCGATTTGCGAATACTTCAGACTCGCGAATGGACTTGGCAAATTCGCGAATAGACTTGAGGTATCCGCGAATGGACTACTTGCCTCATACATCTGTGGCTGGGCCAGTCTATTCGCGAACAGCATGGGCAAAATGTAGTTTTAGTAAAATATACATATATTTCTTCGCCAATAACTAATAACGAATTAGGTCTACATATATCTAACAACCTCTGGAGCCTCAGGGGACCTCTTCAACCTCCAGCGACCTCAACGAATTCAAATAGCTCAAGAAGCGGACCTGTATTAATAATTGGCACCTCCGCGATACATAGGAAAATTTGTAAATGCTAGCGAACCCAAGGACCCGATTAGAATCACCCACACGACTTTCAGTACCTAGGGTTCTGCATGGTGTGGTCCAGGAGGACGAATGTACTTGCGTCCTTGCCCTGAGGACTTCCAGAGTCAATTCCAAATACAATTCTTGGCTATTATACACACTTGATATGCTCTAATCTAGTGATGGGCACAATACAAAACAAGATGATATTTGAGCAATTTTCGTCTTTTCTCGTGGATTATAGAAGGTAGTCTCAGAATTAACAATACTTGAGCCATGTATTGTGCAAAGTCTCGAGACTTAGGGTCAGGGTCAACTAGTCGAGCTTTCGTATCAGTTTACCTTACAATGATATTTTTTTTGCATGAGGACTTTTAGGGGAACCCATAAAAACTAGATTTTAAAGCTGGTATGGAGATCATAGACGATCACTCGCAAGTTTCGAAAAGTCTTGAGACCAGATATTTTCTGTTTTGTCTTGTTTTATCTTCTCTCTCTCTCTGGTTCTGTTTTTTTTTGTGTCGTATCTCGGGACAAAGTCTCAAGACTTTTCGTCTTGTGCCCATCACTACTCTAATCGGATGAAGTCATGAATAAAATATACCTTAATTCATTTTAAGAAATATCACTTTTTACTCTACCGGATACTAAGGTTCCAAAATTAGGTTTTACTCCCTGTTCCCCAGTCCATTCGTCAATGGACCGGTCTGGTCACAGATGTATGGAGTCAGCAGTCCATTCGCAGATCCGAGGTATTCGCCAATCGCCCGGAACAGGTCAATAGGAATAAGTCATACAACAATCTAAGGATATGTATGTAATGTAGCGACACGTACACATCGTCACGGGCATTTGATAGTGTGAAATAACTTGGTGTGGTCAATGATAGCCAAGCCACGTCTATAGAATCCTTAGTGCGGGATCCAGGAGTGGCGAGGAGCTAAACTTGACTAACTATAGTACAAACTACAACTATATACACATATTGAGTACTTCAAGAATTCCAGTGATACTTTCGGGCACAGTACCTAGTACACTCAGCGCTTATATGCTGGTACAGACATAACTCGACTGAACGTATGTACAGCCGCATTCGAAAAGTACTGGCACCCTACTGTATTGGGTTCATGAATTGTAGCCCACCAACGTACAACCATGGCACTCGCGCATACTCAGCTTATTGACAGGTATGACCGCAATAGAGACATTGCAGCTCTCTCTGATAACGGTATCGAATATGAGAATTGCAAAGCAGAAAGGACTGCCTCTTGAGTTTGGCCCGGAGGTGCCAAAACTTTTCGAATGCGGCTGTACTGTACGTATCGGATGGATGCACGAGGGCGAGTGATATCTCATGAATATTGGGGGCACGACGAGAAATCTATCGAAAGCTTGAGATACATAGATGAAATGCCGAGGAAGAATGAATGATACTGTATGTAGCGACCATCTAAGTTCGTATAGACCCTTTTTTGTCAGAAGAGAACCATTCGCACAGTACTGCATATGCGCATGCCTGACAAGCCCTAGAGTTCGTACAGTCATGGGTTGACTGACAAAACACATACACTCTGTCCAGGTGGCCGAGGATGGATGTGATAAGGTGCAATGTTTGTAGTAAAAACAAAATATGACACCAATGACATTCAGGAAGCTTCGTACAGAGTCTGCCCTGACATCCAATGAAAATTGTACACTCCTCCATTTTCCTGACATGACAACTGATGCTAAAGGGTAGGTACTCTATATATAGGTACTGTGATCATCGAGATACCCACTGAACGATCTCGTGTGCGTGCGCGCTCGGCGCCGGTAGCTCTGTATAGCTGTAGGAAGGGAAATCGAAATATCGTCGCTACACCAGCTACATGCAGCCTCTTGCTTGGCGCATGCCTCTTGAGCGCGGGTTTCCTTCACATATTGAATAAACTTGGCGCTTGTCTTGCCAAATAGTGTTGAGATTTCAACAAGAAATTTCGATCCATAAACAGTGAATTTTGACGCCAAGACTGTCAATCTGCAAAGCACCAGATTCTGAGCATGTTTACGCCTACCAGGTGAGAGGCTTTTTCTGTGCGCACGAAGTTTCTTCACATCAATTACGTAATATAGATCTAGATTCATTAAGTGTTATCCACTTGTTTTATGTCACGTATGAGCCCCCGATATTATATATTATATTAGAGAGTTGAGAGGCGGGTACTTCCCCTCACACCTCTCACGCTCAGCTATGCTTCCCATCGATATTTCACTCCTTGATAACGTCTCCGGTATTAAAACCGACCATACCCCCACGATATATACACAATATACCACCTAAAGCCTCTTAGATCAGCTACAACAAGACTTCCCTCGGAAACTGAACATAAAATTTCCAAGAACTATTTTCTCAATGGATGCCCCAGGTGGAGCTAATGCCCTGATAAAAGGTGATTTTGTATGCAGGCCTTCATGGTGGATTGATGTTGTTAAATTCTTCGTTCTCAACATCGGGCTCCACGCACTGACAGTTAAACACGGGCCCGGGCCGGGAATATTGCATAAAACTGTCAATATCACCAACTCTATTCTCTTACCTTATTCCGGCATTGGTAGTGCACTGGCCACCGTGGGCTGGCGCCTAGTCCGTTATGTCGAAAAACACCCTTTGGATGTTGCTAAGAGGGCAGGTGCACTGTGAATGGTGCAGCCTGGGCCCTATGCACCTGCTCAGTAAATATGAACTCTTCTAGTATTAGCTAACACGGGCTAATTACATGTACAACTAGGCGAGCAATATTGCCAAATATAGTCGATATTCACGGCCAGCATCCGGTGCCATCTGTGAGCATCTGGAGTCAGTTAAAGACTTCTTGGCTGCCCAAAAATAAATCATCATATGCATCACAAATAGCTCCTTGTCATTTGGAGGAAGTTCCCACTTGGTTCACGGCAAAAAATTTAGATTATCGAAGGGGGGAGGATCTTCAGATCCCACAATCTAAGTTAAACCTCTGTTACAACTATCCTATCATTAAGGTCATTGCAGCCATTCTCCAAACACTTTATGGATCATATGAGGTCTTCAGAGTAGGCGAATCCCAGTTCGAGAGGTACGGTTTTGCGGCATATTCTTTAACAATCATACCATATATAATCGTGTCTCTTGTCAATTTGATGGCCGCATTGATCGAACCTGAATACCCTACGATGTACCTTGTCTATTATGGAGGTGAGACATGGCCCGAAGAAGGAGATAGTAGTGTCATTCACAAGGACTTGGATGAGGAGGAGTGTCCTGCTTCTGTCGGAACTCATAGGTATCATCGTTTGAATATAAGCTAAGGTGTGTATTATGCGCTGATCTGACTCCAGAGTCCAGAACAAAATCATAAAGAACCAGACACTAATGAATTGACGTGGTGCGTAAAGATACAAGCTACCCTCATCACGGATACCAGACAGGAATAACAGGCGCAGTTGGGAAAGTGTATGGGAAAGTGCCGAGGACTGAATGGGAAAGAATATAATCTGAGGTACGTATAGAAATTTCCGGGGTACTTTATTCCTACTCGTAGTAGAAGGGGCGCTGTACTTTGGGTAGAGTATACCTACACGTTAGACAATGCTTAGCTGTTGGTGGGCTCGAGGTAAAGAATAAGAGGTGTAGCTGGAGGTTGACACCCTACCGTATGATATGATATATATAGTACAGCGCTTTTCCCCCGATAAGTAGAAGGACTTCTGGCGGTGCTGACACAAGTGTCCCTGAAGAATGAATATATGTATAAGAGAGCTGAAAAAGGGCCCATGTACACGCGGGTCGTTTTTACTATCGGTTGTGTCGGATTAATAGCTTTGATCGCTGCTCCATATGTCGTTATCCAACTCTTGACGGGCTTCAAACACGGTGATCACGATACTACAAGTCAACAAGCTTGGCTGATGTCTTGGCTTATATTTGGTCAGATATTCGGCATTTTAAAAATGCGTACTGGGAGAGGGTCTATCAGTCAGTTCTTAGGCGATTCGATTAATGATCCCTCACGGTTCAAGAGAGCGTTCTTTGCAGGTTCGGCAACCCCGGAGGGGCTCTTATTTGAACTCATTACAACACTCGTACTCTCTGTTGCTACCTTTGGTGGATTTACGGTTGTTTCGAAGATGATACTGCAGGAGGAGGTTTGCACGAGTATCTGAGTATCACGTTAAGGTGGTAAAGGTGAGGCTCTTGTGTAACTGTCTAAAACATTCAATTTCATACCTGTCGTCAAATTTAACATGCTTTTATGGGTTTAGGATCGAAGCTGTGTGGTGGTTAGGAATAGAAAGGGGCTAACGGTACCGGTGCCGAATATTGTGCTCTTTCTATTTTCTCTTCCTTATATCTTTCTCCTTCATCCTTTGTCCCTCTGTTCGTACAAGTTATCTATTTCCGTTCTCTTTTCATCTATTTAGTATCTATTAACGAAAGTCCCCGTCCCAAACGGGATGTATGTTTATTCCGAATTATCAATTGCTTCATATATTCATATGATAATGGACGCTAAATCTGTGTTTCGATCATTGAGCAGACGTATCCCTTAAGCTGTTACCTAAATGCTGCCAACATGAGACATCGTAACATCAGGCAGCCTCGCACGAAAGCTACAGAACTGAGACATGATACTTGGCAAAGTTGATAGCTTTAATAGCATAAGGGATACGTATGTAAATACTGGTTTTCGAATGCCACTGAGTGAACAACTGTGATATCCGGGCCGACTTTGGAAACGCCAGATGTGAGGAGAAGTGGGTTATTCCAATAGAATCGTATATACCCCATAGAAGGTTTTACGAGAATCGTCAATGCTACATGTAATTATGTTAGGATCCAGGAAGTCCGTCTCGGATGGTGCCGGCACACATTTACAGCCATTTTCCAAAGTTTTCGAATTTGCCCTACACGCCTGCATCATGACCTTATCTAAACTATATAGTCTTCCTCATCGTCACCAGGAACGTTTTCTATTGGCTGCGTATTATTTCTAATATTGGTTGCATATCATTACACAAGTAGACAAAGAACTATTCCCGAGATGGAAGGGAACTGGCATTAAAAGGCATGTAGCTATTGCAATTGATGGATATAAAGAACAAACACTGACAGAACTACAGCCATACTTTTATATATCAAGGTCGAATTTCCCTGATAGCATTTTATCATGAACTACATGTACATACTAAAGCTACTCATTGAATGACTTAGAGTGCATACTAGAGCTAATAAATCGCAGATTACCTATAAGGAGAGATGGAGATGAGGTTTAGTGCGTGCCTGTACGTTTGGATGACCCAATAATCCAGAATGACAGCAATAATCTAAGAAATTACTATCGCAGTACCGCCCGCACCTTCATTCCTCACTACATTTGGGCGGCCGGAGGCCGCACTCCGCTTGTATATACATAAACTAGAACGACTAGAATACCTTAAATCAGCTTATATCGGTCAGAAGAGTAGCCCGACAACCCGCGTGTTCCGTGACCATGGGAAGTAAATATATACTTAAGTTGGAAATTAAAGGCGCGACTTGTACCATGAATTCCTAAGTAAATTAGAACCTAGCCATGGCCTAAGTAATAGCTCGCTCTATAGTGATATCGATATCGGAGACTACAGTGCGGTTACCAAGAGACATAGGTGTGTAAACTCGATACCCTGTATATACTGATTATCCAAACGCCACATTGAATCGCATGCATAGCGAAATCAGATTGTCTATAGTAAAGCTGTGTCCGATGGGATATCTGGTGTTAAACTCGCCTTATATACCAACGGGCCAGTCACGGACGGTTGAATATCAGTATTTGTGCCTAATCGATTATCCCCCGCACTTCCAGAAGTGAATGTCATCCCCGGAACAAGAAATGAGCAAGATCTTGTCTCGTTTCGTCTCGTCTGACCCACACCGCAGGTATTATAGGGGTCTTCAGATAGGCGTGCATCCATTAACGATGGCGTGATCTAAACGAACTCCCAATCTTCTCAACGATGTCTTGAATGTCAGATATCGATGTTCCTCCATAGGGCTATTCTTTCTGGGAGATTTGGTTCCCTGCGGTGCGTCTGTGTGGGGCCCCTGATCATGGTAAACGTAAATGTTGATTATCGATCTCACTAAGTTCGTAAAAAGTTCGAGAAACTACCTTCTAGATAGTACTGGAGTATCCGCCTTACTTTGAGGAAGGAAAATGTAACTGCAGAAAGAAAGAAAAAGAGGGTGGGGGTGAATGGTACCGAATGCGCTATAACGATTTCATCCCATATAGCTGGTTATTACCTTCCGTGATCTCCTATGAACCGGTATTCTAGAATTCTGCATTCACTACATGTGTATGCTAGCAGCTGTTAGTCAGGAAAATATCTCCTATATATATGTCTTGTGAAAGTACAAGAAGGTCTCTTCCACACACCTACGTTACCTACTAGCTAGAACAAACGGCCACCATCCGAAATCTCGTTAACGAGATGAAAAAAAGAAAGATAATGTCTCGTTTCGTCTCGTCTCGGAGGCATATCTGGTTCATCATTTGATTAGATCTTCTAGCAATTTGATAGGCGTTTTTAGCGTGCAATCCATATCATATCAGTGACACAATGACCCCCAAGCACCAGAATCGATAGGGCACGAGCCATGCACATGCGCCTGTGTAAATTAGATTTTGCATTTGGGAAGAAAATTCATGGAGCCAGATACTCACTCGTCTAGCTGTCTAAATAATAACCAGAAAGCCTCCTCTCTGGAGAACGAAATATTGTATGTGCACGGATATCCTAGGTAGATACAGAGCTCTTTGCACTAGCCCGTCAACCCCCGGTGGGAGACCAGTAAACGCATCGTGGCCAGTAAACTGACCTCCAATGCAGGTCAGTCACAGACAGATCCCCATCCACTTTACACTTGCTCCCCTTTCCATACCAAGACACCCATCTCTCAACCCACGAACCATCGTGCGAGAAACCAAAACGGCTCCTCTAGTGCCCCTCAGGTCCCATCTCACGCCCTACCACCTACAGTGTATCTACCATCGGAAAGTCTCCCCTAGCGTCCGTACCCTCTTTACCCCAAGCGCATCAATTCTCGGTTAGCAAGAGACGAAATGAGCAAGATCTTGTCTCGTTTCGTCTCGTTTGACGCGGGTCTCGGGACAGCCAACAAGGATCAGTGCTCTTGTCAAACAACGACCGCGCGCGCGCACCAAAAAGTTGTTTCTGGTGCTGTGACGTCTCCTCCCTAGGATGGGTGCTCCTGTCAAAACGAAGAAAAAAAATTGTGTTTTGTCTTAGTTGGGTCCCCGGGACATGAACAACACGAACTGAACTCTTGTCTTGGAGAAGAAAATGAGGTTTCTAAGACAGTCAAAACTCATTTTTCCCATCCCCAACGGCGGGTTGCTGCCACCCACACACGGTCACTGCAATGCTCGTGCTAAAAAATGGGGTTTGGTCGTTTGTCGTTGGCTGTCTAAGACGTTCTGAGGGAGAAACTGTCTTATTGGAAAGTGTCAAAATCAATTTTTCCCCAACAGCGCATGCAATGGGTAGTGTCGGCACCCGTGCACAGTCTCGGGTTTCGGCTTTCCCTTAGTTATGCAGTGCCAAGGACCTTTGAGTTGCTATAATTATATTTCTGTGGAGGCTTCTAGAGTATGTAACGTCAATTCAAGAGGCGAAATTAATACGTGCATGAAGCTCGCGATCGATCAGGGGTTGGCTAAACGAAGAGGCACAAAAACGGCCTTCTGGATTTCTGCAGGTGGGAGATGAGGTCGATCTGGAATAGGGTTTGACACAATTTAGATTCTCCCATAGAGTACTCCTGTACGTATCCTTGACAAGATGATACTGATCGTTTTCAGTAAGGGTTAAGAATTTGGTGAGGGGGAGGAATGAAAATAAAGAATGATTATCTAAAGGATGTTACTGGAATTAACCACTCTTTCGACCCCCACGAAAAGGCGGCATTATTTATTGAATGAGCTGGTCATCTGACCTTAGAATTCCGCTGTAGAGCCAGTAGGACGCTCCGCTTCCGCCTGGGTCGATAACTAAATAAACCTCTCTTTTCCCTCTCCAGTAAAGTCTTCAGCCACCATGGCGAGCGCGGGAAATCTAGGCCAGTTTATTCGTAGTGAGTGCTAATATCACGTACAACCTATGGATGCTAGTAACAAGGCCCGTATCATTACCCCCAGTATTCACCATTACCCCATGCCTGCATGTAGGAAGAATATATATAGAACATAAACAGTTGGGGTACCGGGATTGCATAATTTAAGTTGATCACGAATTGCGACAGCCAAGTTTAAGGTCTGGAATGAACCATTCAGTCGCTCGCTCGCTCGCGACTGGGTGTGTGTGTGTGTTCTATATGAACGCCTCCTATGATCCCAATCGCAATATGCAATTCGCAGATCTGTATATTGGGCATTTAAGCTTCCGAGGCGCTGGAGGAGGTAATGAACCCCACAAGCAGTATCTCACCCGTGGGCCAATCCTAGACTGCGTACTGGGATCTAGACTGGCGAAATTGGATGTTAATATAGGCGCGCAGGCATTCCCACTAGGTAGATGGCCCAGGCCAGTGGATGCTCAACGTGTCACAATATAACTCCACGGCCACAGATACTAGACATCTATACCCAGTGAAGATAATGGGCTGACAGGAACTTGGGCCAATAGATACCATCTGTATGGATTGGGGATTTGCCAGCTTTGCTGCTTCTTCCATATATCCTATCTTTGTAGCCCTTGCGATCGCCATTGACAGATAGTAGTATTCGTGAAAGACTATAAGGATGTAACTCCAAACTCTATTAAAACTTTCCCTATTCGCAATTTGAATCGATATGGCTACTTGGGACGTAGGCGATCAATTAATTCAAGTCCCCAGAGTATGGTAAGCACCCCAGATACTACAGGCATGAACATGTTGTGATATATATAGCCATCTAGACGCATCCATATGGCTATACTTACCACGCGTTCATATATGTATATAACTCGCCTTTTTCCAATGGCATCATCCGTCTCTTGTTCTCCAGATCGACATCCCAGGATAGGAGTTCATTGATCTAACTAACCTAACCCTATCGAAACAACGGCCTGATTGGTCACAGGCCAACCAAACAAACATACTAACTAGCAATCGGCGAAACATGTTTTCATCCCCGCTGTTATTTCTCGCGAGTAGGTATCGGAAATGAGGGCGGTGAACAACCATGTTATAACAGGTAGTAGTGGGCTGAGCCCAATGTTAGCACCCTTGTCTAGCACGGAAAAGATTAACCACTCCGCACTAGCTAATAGACCATTCATCCATGGTAAAAGGAGTTGTTCCTGCAGCTGTCACACTATTGTGAATAGTAGTCACGCAGGATGAGGATTAGATGAGGTACCTAGCAGAAGAGTAACATCAAGTCTACCGAGTAGTGAGTAACACCCGTACTACTTCCCTGCCTACTCAGCACTCGCTCACTCGTCCACTTGCCCACAACCACCCCTGTCTGTGCAATGCAAATCTCCGTCCCGCGGCATTGTCCACACAGGCTATTCCATACCAAGAACTGAACCCTTGTCCTGGTTGTTAATCCCCACTCCACGCACAGGTACCGGTTAACTCCCTTTTTCTTTCTTCTTCTTCTGCTTGTTTGCTCCTCGGTAGGGCAGGCGGGTAGGCATTGACTTTGGTGTCTACGCTCATCATCCCACGTCCAAGCCCACCCCCCCCCGTGAGATCTTTGCTCTTAACACTCTCATCACCACCTCCACACTCATTTACCTATCCATTCATTCACCTGTTCACCCATACACTCCTTTAACCAAACAGTCAGTAGGAATCCCCCGCAAGCCATGGATCCGAAATCACCACAGTCCTTACCTTCACCTACCTCACCTTCTTCGCCTTCCTCATTTTCACCTTCTTCGTCTTCCCCCTCTTCGCCCTCTTTGCCTTTCTTGCCTTCAACGCCACCTGCCACGTCTTTACCCACACCCCCTAACTCGTCGCCTATAAACCCGATCGCAAAACGTGATCTTCGACTGATTAGGGGTGCAAAATCCAAGGTTTGTTTATTTATCCTTATTTTCGCATTTATCTCGAGGCTGACAAATAAACATAGCGTCCAGTAACACAGCTCCTCTCCTCGCCATGGAATTATCAACCCCCGCGCCTTCAAACACAAATCCATACGCCCCAAGACCTTTATATTGCGGTCAATAGAGCCCGGCACTACGATGGTCATGCTCCCTCACTCAATCCATCACCGGCAACTACGAATCCTACGTTTCTTCCATACTCTGGTAATTTTGTCCTTGACGCATCATTCGCACTGCCATCTGACAGGCAGCCACTTCTTGAGAAGATCCGTCAGCTGCAGCAACGGCAGAAAGCAGAATGCGCAGAGTTGGCGAAGAAGTTGATCGATTTGATCCAGAAAGTGGACGGGTATGAGTACGTGAAACTTGGGAATGGATCGCAGTTGAGCGGGCTGAAAACGGTGGTGGGGTGGTATTTCCATTTCGTATGCTCGGCATCGAAAGAGTGCTGTCCAAGTAAGTCAAATCTATCTTGAGAGGAAATACATTTTTGAAATTGTTACTAATGGTTGTTCAGAGAGCAATAGTATTAGTAATCGCGACTGTAAAGGGAGTATATATGTATCAATGTCGACGGAGAGAGTATACATATACTATACGCATCGGGACTTGCACGAGCCTGCAACACCTCGCGGGTTTGAAATGGCATTCGAAAATCTACCGGCGGAGGTCAAGGTACAGGATGGTGGGGTGCTTGTGGCTATGCAGCAATTGGAGGGAATTGAGCGGGAAGTAGATGTGGAGAGTGAGTCGTCGGGAGGGTCGGATCAATCAGAGAAGACCGAGCAGGATCGCGGGGTAAAACCCAAGAAAGAGGTGGTAGGAGCAGAAAAGGAAAAACTGGTTGATATGCAGCAGCTGGAAGGTGGAAGAGCAGAAGGACAACTAAACCTCGACCAATTAGAGGGTGGTGGGCGGGAAGGACAGTTAGATCTCGAGCAACTGGAAGGAGGTCGGTCAGAAGGACAGCTCGATATCCGGCAATTAGAAGAGAATGGGCCTGAGGGGCAACTGGATATCGGTCAACTGGACAATATATCACCAGAGCATCGGGCGAAGACAATACCAGCAGAAGTGGAATCGAAAGTATCAGGTTCTCCGGCGGAACCCACTCCCCTACCAACTCCGACACCCACTCCTCCGAAGCTGCGCCGAAAACCAAGCCCAATATCCATTCCCCCAGTGTCCCCCCACCCTCTCGCTTCCCTCCAGCCACCCACTACTCCCCTTCCGCCATTCACCCCAAACATGTTGCCCAACATCCGCCCAACACCGGCCGCAACTCCTGGATCTGTGAATCGTAATCACAGCAAACTCAGCGCGCTCCGCGACATGGTCGATGCATGGCATCCGGATGATGAATCCGGAGAGAACAACGCTCCCGAGAAAGTGAACCCATTCCTAAAGGTCACATTCAGGTTCATGGTGGAGTGGTTTCAGTCCTCTATGGGACATCCGGAGGTTCAAAGAGAGATCTACCGGATCCTGGATATGGAGGCCGAAGGAGAAGGGGAAGGATCAGGAGCTGGTGAGAGCGATGTAGAGGACACAGTAGTGGGAGACGATAACCGGTCGGTGAGAATCGATTATGATGATGATATGAGCCGGAAAGATATGGATGAAGAGGAGGATATTGTGGTTGATGTGCTACGGTATGTGTCTTTACCCCTCTTATTGGCGTATATATGCGTGCAGTTATACTAACTTAGCTACGCAGAACACCAACAAGGAAAACGCCAACTCCGGATAGCCCAACACGAAAACTGACGTTGGATCTTCCTAAGAAAGCGCGGCGCTCAGTGCGGGAATTGTTGAAACTAGGATACGGGACATCCACCAGGGTGTTGAGCCCGATTGTCGAGTCTGCCAGTGAGAAGAGGAAAAGCACTGATGGTTCAGGAAAGAAGGGAAAGATGAGTCGTAGAAGTGGAGAGTCGGACAGGTGAGGACTATATGAATAACATTGATTATAAATCGCTGTAACTATCGGATTTTGGTTTTTTTTGGTGGAGTTTTATCTTTTTTTTTTTTTTTTTTTTTTTACCCTTTTTTTTTTTTTTTACTTTTTTCTATCTTTCTCTTTTTCGGGGGAAGGGGATTTGGACGTTCATGAAGCATGGTGATGTATCATTGGGGTATGAGGTGTGTTTTTTGTATACTAATTATATTATTTTTTGGCTTTGGCTTTGTATTTTCTTTTCATTTCACCTTTTTCCTTTTTTTTCTTTCCCTTTTTTTTTTTTTTATTTTTTTTGCAAAAGTTGGTGTTCCTGTTTTTGGTACTTTACGGTGGAGATAAATGTATTTGTAGTTTTGGTGTTAACCTGTAAACTGTTGAGTTGGTGGGTTTATGCATTATTGGGACTTTCTGATTGACCTGTATTTAGAGTAACATGTATGTCGTGCGTCTTCTATGGCAAATACGATGGACTTGATATCGATCCTAACGGCGGCCAATATTTGCAAGTGATAGAACCACCTATACCTCTCAGAAAGTGCACGTCTGGCAATTTTGTTTTACGTTCTATCAAAGCCTAGGCCTCAAGCTTTAATTTGAATCATTCCATATTTCCCCCCGACTTCTAGACTCTTTTTTCAGGTGGTACCAAAAAAAGCAGAGTTGCTTGCAATTGTGGAAATGATAGACCGTATCTGATCTGAGCTAGAGTCCGTAGTCAAAAACTCCCCCTTTTGGAATAGTCGCTGGAGTACTGAGCGCCCCCCTGCGCTAGCTACTTAGGCATTCAATGCCGCCGCTCTCCCATATGTGTCATTATACCTCTCTGTGATATAATCGTGCACCTTCACTGGCGGATACTTCTCGCCTTCATCACCAACGCATTCAGGAAGACACTTGACAACATAGTCTGGGTTCCCGGCGTGGAAACATGCTATCGAATAGCGGGCTTTGCCGGATTTGTTGATGACCTGGTGAAGGCCGGAACTGTAGCGGTCGTTGGTCCAGCGGCGCATGCAGTCACCAAGGTTAACGACGTAGGCGCCTTTGATGGGGGTTACCTTCGGAGAGAGGTTAATGGAGAGCTCTTAGGTGGAGAAGGGAGAAGATAAGGGGGGGGGGCTTCATACATCGAGCCAGGAATCAGTGTCTTTATCCCAGACCTGTAGGCCGCCGGCATCGTCCTGCATAAGTAGCGTAACAAACCCTACACAGCAAACAAAACATTACAACCCGCTAGCACCAACCATCAACACCCACTCAGAACTTACCGAAATCCGTATGTGCACTGATGCCCCTCTCCCCATCATCCACCACCACGGGGTCCTGCGCCGGATAATGCAGCATCTTCACCGTCGCAAGCCGGTTCTTTGAGAACTCTGCGAAATACTCCGCATGCAGCCCCAGCGATAGCGCCAGCACTTTTAAAACGTCGTCTGCTAGCCTAAGTGTCGTCTCCAAGTACGTATCGACCGTTTTCTGGAACTCCTCTGGGTTCCCGACACTTTGCGGGTACAGGTTTGGGCCGCACGCTACCCGCTTGGTCTTCACGTATGGGTGGTCGGATTGGTAGTCGGGGCCAAAGTCAATGGCTTCTTTTAGGTCTGGGTAACGGCTGGTTTCGAAAGCCTGGCTGCGGAAGGCCTCGTAGCCACGGTGGTGGTCGTTTTGATCTGTCGCAGTCAGTGGCTGGCCGTGAATGGAGGCGGACGTACGGGAGTGGCTAACCTTTATCGTCTTTGAGCTTCTCCTCCATGGGGAGGGCGAAGAACTCTTGGGCTAGCGTGAACATGGCATCTTGCAGGGAGGAGGGAACTGGGTGGTTGATGATTTGGAAGAAGCCTTTGTCGAGGCAGGCTGCGCGCACTTGGTCTACGACGTTCTGACGGGCTGTGGGGTCGTTGCCGTAGAACGCTGTGGGTCATTTGGAATCAGTGGATGCCGGTTGAAGTGGCAATGCAAGGGAGGATTGGGAGACTCACGCGCAAAGTCGATAATCGGCGGGGCTTTTGCTTTTGGGTTTGCCATCTTGGAGTGTATCTAAGGCGGTTGAGATACTCAATTATCCTCAAGTCCGTTTGACGCCTGAGGTGGGGGGCTTATAAGTATGAAAGAAGTGTGGGGAATTGAGTCATCCTATACTGTTAAGGAAGTCATTAAGGGATGTTTCGGACCGGCCTTGCGTCATCGTGCATTGATCTTGTTTTGACATGGAGAAGATATATGCGGTTCCCATTGGATACCGACAGCTAGCCCAATCAGCACATTGTGTCTGCCCTGTGGTAAGCTGACTTGCCGCGATGTTATGAAGAAGCGGCATAACATAATCATATATTAGACACGTATCCCTTAAACTGGCATGCTGACCCCCCTAATAGAGGAATGAGATTTGTATGGGAGATCTATTATTTGATAAGAGAGATAACAGGATCTGTTAGTAAAGCCAGATAAAAATTTGCTTTTTCTGAGGGGTCAGCATTTAAGGGAGATAAGGGAAGGGTAGAGGTTAGGTTCCGGACAGACACGTCATCTAATACGAAGAGCGGGGATATACATGTACCAGTGTTCAGTTAGGATTAATAACATGTTCGATAGTGATCTACATGTCACCGGAGATGAAATGCTGCTGAGTAAATACAATAGAAGATCTGTGTGAGAGTGTGCGTAAGTAATTTGGCTGTGTTGGTAACATACATAGCAGACCCTGCAGAAGTGGTGGTGGCCGATCCTCTCTGCCGAGTGACATTACATGATGGATATGTTCATGAGCGATCACTCGATGGATCCTTGCACTTGTTAACCCTTTCCCCTACTTCCATGGGTCCACATAGCGATATTGGCTACTGTCACATTAACTTCCCAAAAATAACTATCACTCAATAGGCCCTACGGTGAAACATTGTGTATCTAGATGTAGCACTCTAATGCAGTAATCTATGTTTGTCTTGAGGGAGAGAGAACATTCAATGTTCTTTATAGCGTCGTGTTTTAACTACGTGATATCAAAGGAACAAAGAAACGCTTAAGGAAATGACTGAATATCCCACTGATATCCTGATTTCATAAAACAAAGTAGTCTCGATAAACTCAGACGCTTTGCCGGATTCTTAGCCCTACATCACGTCAAGACTAAAAACAAAGACCAACCGGCCCGCATAAATCAAAGCGGACATACACCTACGCCCACCCAAAACCACCCATAACACAGAACCCTTCAAAACACCCACCTTGCATGAAAACTAACCCCACTAGAACACTATATAACCACCTCCCCAGCTCGCACCCTCTTCTTCACCCACACAACCACAACCACACCCACACCCACGCAAAACACCACCCAAACACATTACAAAGATGAGCGAAAAAGGCCTCCTCTCCACCATAGCCCTCCAAGAGAAACGCATCAAAAACCTCACCGACCTCTACCACCGCCGCCACACCCGCTCCGTCGACCTAAAGAAGAAATGCGACGGCTGGCGCCACAAGCGGTGCGTCTCCGAGAGCGGGCCACGGGCCTACTGGAACAAGGACCTGGAGGAGGAGTCCAAACTCAAGACCGAGCTGGCAGCGCTGCTTGAGGAGAAGAGTGTGGAAGAGAGGACGTTGAAGGCGTTATTGGGTGAAATGGAGGCGAGGTTGGCCAAGAAGAAAGAGGAAGAGTGGGAGGATGAGGAGGAGGGGGACGCGGGGGAGGAAGAGGGGGAGGGGGAGGGGGATCAGGAGGAGGAGGACCGCGAGGAGCTTAGAGCGGGAGAGGCGGTCGTATGGGAGAAAGAGAGGGGGGGGCCGAACGGGGTGGAGTGGCGCGCGGCGCAGAGGGCGGAGGAGACGGAGAATGACGTTAGGATGTTGGAGCAGCAGTGGACGAAGCAGACAGACAACTGGGAGGACGGAAATAGCTGGGATGAGCAGGTCGAGCCGGATAGGTTGGGGCTTTGGATCCCTTTGCGCATGGACGGTGGCACGGCTTTGTGGGGTTAGAATGGAAAGAAAAAGGGGGGGGGGGGGGGGGGTCAATGGCGTGTTTGGTACAGAGTGTAGTTCTAGATCTGTTTGGGTAGGTGTTTTTCTTCGGGGATGCTTTGCGAATGGATATGCGTAATAGAGAACTACATGCTTTGACATGCGCAATTGAAAATGAGATATGAGTATAGCGTACGTTCTTCACAGTGAACTAGACTACTTTCATAGATCCCACGAATTCTCGCTGACAGATATTTCCTTCGGAAGTTAATATATCAATATTCAACCAATCAATCAATCATTACGAAGTTAATAGTGCTCACTATTGCCATTAAAATCGTCTCTGTGTTTCCTTGAGCTACGGTTGATATACCAATTTCGGGAATGAGCACAAGTACCGAATATAAACTAGCCACTATTCCACCGAAGAATCTAAAGCAATAATAACAGCAGAAACACGACAGCTAAGGCGATCTTATAAGTAATAGGCAACTCGAGTGATATTCCATGACTACATCTCTATCCCACGAAAATTACAATCCTACAAAACAGTTTCCCATGGTCAGGGAATACGTTATCTATGCTCATTTTATTTTTGTCAAATCAATTCGTATTCCGTGAATCCCAATTTGGACTTTGTAAGCTACTTGTAGTTTCATTGAAAATGATATCAACACCACCGAACGGCATCTATAGTACGAATCCTGTCACATGAGTGTATACACGTGTCACCCCAGCTAATCTCGCAGAACGTACATGTATATATCCAGGACAGGTATCCTCCAAAGCCAACACTGCTACGATTTGATTGTGCCATCAATCACGTGGCGCGACTTCCTCCTGCAAAATGTGACTACCTCCCAGAACCTCTTCCAACACCTGCATACCCGCCAGAACCTTCTCCTCCTGCAATCTCCTCCCAATAACCTGCAGTCCCACTGGATGTCCATGCATCAGCTCCGGGTCATCTGCCATCAATCAGCACACGTATAGTTTAACCACAATAAATCAGAAGGCGGCATACACAGCTTCCAATTGATCTCATCCAGATCGCTCCTGCCCTTGTATTCCTGCCTGGGATCCTTTACTCTATCGACAAATCCACCTGGAACTACACCCGCTGTGTAATCCATTACGTTCCACGCCTTCGTATACCCCACCCACCGACACTTTTCATGTGGCACTGCAACATGGGGCATAACCGGGGACAAGACAAGATCAACCATCCTCCCACTTTTTGACAGTGCTGAGGAAGCGTTCCATTTGTCGAGGTAGGCCTTCTGGCACGCCCATTTGCGCTTATTAAGCTGCCAGTACTCATACACGGAGATCGCGGGGGCGCGATTGATGAGCCGGGCGACATGTGGGATGGCAGGTTCGCCGCTGGCATCAAGGGCACGCCGGATATCTTCGCCGCCATCGGCTGTATAGAATTGGTCCTGTATCATCAGCCTTTTATCCTCAAAAGGCTCAGCTAATTATACCATAACCGCAATAGCCTCCTCATGGCCGTCGGGCGCCCACTCCACCACTTCATGGCCTGCCGCTTCAAGACAAGCCACGGCGTTCTCAAGCACCCTCTTGATGGGTGGATGCACCCGTACCACACCATCGTCCCTCAACACTCCAAACACCATTTTTCTCTGTAGCGTATCCCGGTACACATCCTCCCTCCACGGGATAGGTGCAACTTTAGGATCCAGGTTCCACGGCTCCGCGTCAATTACCGCTTTTGTGATCATCTTTAGCGACGATATGGAACGTGCCATGGGACCAATTACCGAAGGGACATGTTCCTGCCCTTCGGTACTCACCACTACGCCCTGGTACGGGAGTCTTGTGCTCTGCTCCAGCCACAGGAATTAGGTCACCGCAGCCATAGGGGTACAATATGCTATGAACTCACACTAGGCTTCAACCCGTATGTGCCCATCAGCGCGCTTGGGATACGTATACTTCCGCCAATATCAGTCCCCCACCCTACAAGGCCCCCACACATGAATAGATTGACAGCCTCACCGCCTGAGCTACCACCCGGTGTGAGAAAAATACTCCGTGGGTTGTAGGTGCAACGAAATATGTTGTTCTCTGTCTCGCACCACATTATGCTTTGCGGGAGATTGGTTTTTGCGAATATGATTGCACCTAGTGAACCGAGCATTTCTGTGAGAACTGAGGGTGGTAACGTAGAAGCATTACCAATGTAGGAGACGTATCCAATTGTGGTGTCGCTGCCCGGGACGTGGAATTGGTCTTTGACAGTTACGGGGAGGCCGTGGAGGGGCCCACGTTGGTCAGCGGGTAAGGCATCAAGTTCTGCGGCGCGAGCGAGGGCAGAGGGAAAGAGAGGTTCTGTCAGTGTGTTTAACTAGAGGGTGATCAATTGCCTTGCCATGTAATCGCTCTTTAGGGGGGAACTCACGAGCTGTGTAATGATCGTAGCTCTTCAAAAGGCATATTATTAGCCCCGACCTCAACTCCCACGAATCTGAATAGCTCTCACCAACAGCTTTACAGATATTGACACCAACTTACCGCTTAATGTACGCCGTCACCAGCTCTGTGCAGCTCCACTCTCCACGCCTCAACATGCCCAACACAACCACGGCATCAGGCTCCTCCGTCATCATCTTCTCACGAGCCGTGAGAAACTCAAACCCTATACCACCATGGCTGAAAATATTCGATATGTCCGGGGGCAAGATGACTGCTTTAAGCCTCCCAGTTGGGGCCATATATGGGCGATACACTTTAAACAGCTCCATGCGCTTGGCCTCGGCGCGGGCTTTCCAGTTAGTGCTCATTGCGGTAGGTATGCTGCTGTCGTTTCTTTGTTTGAAGCTTTCGACGACTCTAGCTGTTTTGCAGGCACGGAACGATGAGGTGTGTAGTCCAGAGAACTGCTCTGACAGCTAGGTATCATATCAGGGCACCCCTCACTTTTGACGCATTGATCGCACTGCATACATGTAGAGCATGTAGCCATCTATCCCTATCCCTGTCGTTCGGTTATGCTATCCAAGGACTTGAGAGCAAGACCTCGGGTGTATGGTGGGCGTCACGATATCGGGGTCGGTAAAAGTACATGAACGCCAAATCTATCTCCTCAACCACAACACAATATATTTTTGATTAGAGGCCGTAGAATGACAGAGAACCAAGAGGAGAATCATTCTACGGCCTTTAATCTTAATTATCTTGTGTTGTGGTTGAGGAGATAGACTTTGAAGTTGGGTGAGTTTGGTAGGGAGACAGGTCAATTTTTACCCATACAGATTGTTAAGGCCAGATCAAAATCCACTAAAAATACCCCTGTCCATCACCATAAAGCACTCGGTTTATTACCAAAAGGGCGTTGATCTGCCATCTGTGAGCTCAAAAACACCTAAATAGGTGATGATTTACCTGATGGAGATTTTTACATGTGCCAAGACCGACCCCGATATCGTGACGCCCACCATATTCCAGAGCCCATCTGACTGCCATGTCGAGAAGAGTGTGGGGGAGGGAAGCCTTACACTAATTAAGCTACATACCATCTAGAGTAGACAACAGCCCGGACGTGAGACGTGGGGACAGCCAGACAGCCAGGGCAGGACGTGGGGTAAGTAGCGAGCGAGCGAGCGAGCGACACCGGCCGGCTAGGCTAGGCTAGCCCGGAACGGCAGTGTATCCTCTTGACGTCATGCAGGGACAACAAGCGCGACACAGCCAATGGAAATGATTGATCCGCAGCTAAGCGTGCGGTGGAACATCACCACACGGGCATAGATAGCAGATGTCTTTGGGGGCACAGTGAACAGCTCATGCGGGTCGCCGGGTCTTGTAAATTAACATATGTACCTACTTTATCTATCCTTCACAGACTGGGACGACAGAGACCACGTATTCTGCTAGTATACATACATCCCCGCTCTATAGTACACAGAAGAGAAAAAAAAAACACAATTCGATATCACTTGGGCAGCGCCTGCTTCTTGCCTGCTCCACCTGTTCTGCCTATTCAGATAGACTGAGATACTACCTCTTACCCAGCTGTCCTCACCACCCACAACTACAGACCTACAATGACCCCCCAAACCACCGACGTTCTCATCGTCGGCGCCGGCCCCGCCGGCCTAATGCTCTCGTACCCCCCCCCTCTTTCTCTCCCCTCTCCCCTCTCCCCTCCCCCCACCGCCCACTACTAACCCCCTCTCCCCCAGCACGCTCCTAACCCGCCTCGGCATCCCCCTCCTCCACATCGACGACCGCCCGCACGCCACCAGCACCGGCCGCGCCGACGGGCTGCAACCCAAGACGCTCGAAACACTGTCACAACTCCGCCTGCTCACGCCGCTGCTCGAACGCGGGGTCAAGATCTACGACATTGCGTACTGGAACTCGACGGCGGAGCACGCGCTGAAGCGGACGAGAAGGGAGTGCCATTTCCCCGGGGTCGTGGAGGTGGTGGAGAGGTTTATACTGATCTGCCATCAGGGGGTTGTGGAGGGCGTGTTGGAGGGGGATGTGGTGGGGAGGGGGGGCGGGGTGGTGAGGGGGGTGGGCTTCGCGGGGTATGAACTGGAGGGGGCGGAGGGGGAGGGGGAGGGGGGGATGGTGAGGGCTTGGTTTGAGAAGGTGGGGGCGGGGGAGGAGAGTGAGAGGAGGGAGGTGAGGGCAAAGTATGTGGTGGGGTGCGACGGCGCGCATAGTGCGGTGCGGAGGTGTATGCCTGGTGCGAAGATGGAGGGGGAGAGCACGGATGTGTTTTGGGGCGTGTTGGACGGCGTGATAGAGACGGACTTTCCGGACCTGTGGAGTAAATGGTGGGTTTCTTTCTGTGGGGGGTTGTCTGGCGGTGGGGGGACTAGAGGGTGTGAGTGTTCAGGGCGGGGAGTGCTTGTGCGAGAGATGAAAGGTCCGCGGCCTGGATACTTGCGTTCGCGGTGCTCTTTTGCGGCGGATTGGTATTGCTTGCTTACCGGCAAAAGAACCAGAGAATGCAAATGACGGAAACAAGGATGGTTTGTATGAGAGAACGGCACCATGGCACTCTATACAAACCATCCTTGCCCCAATTAGCTACATTTTCTCGTTCTTTTGCTTGTAAGCAAGTGCTGTGCTCCAGGTATTGTGTAAGCTTTCGGGGATGGATGGACTGACTGACCTCCAATGGGCCCACAGCGCAATCGCCACCCACGACAGAGGCACAATCCTGTGCATCCCGCGCGAGCGCGGCATGACACGGCTGTACATCGAGCTCAGCAACGGGAGCAAGTCGGAGGCGGCGCAGGAGTTTGTCATGGCGCGCGCGAGGGAGATCATGGCGCCGTTCAGCGTCGAGTGGAGGAGTGTCGAGTGGTTCGGCGTCTACCAGAGTCAGTTGTTCTGGCATCCCAGTAGCACTTCTGTCCGGGTTTGAGATGCTGATGTGGAGGGCGGATGTGATAGTCGGACAGCGGATAGCTAGCACATTCAGTGACCGCGGCCGTGTCTTTATCGCCGGCGATGCAGCGCACACACACTCGCCCAAGGCCGCCCAGGGTATGCTCCCCCCGATGTCAATGATAGTAGTAACAACCCTAACCAACCCTGGATCGCAGGCATGAACGTCTCCATGCACGACACCTTCAACCTCGCCTGGAAGCTCGCCTGCGTACTCAAAGGCCTCTCGCCCGCCAGCCTCCTCGACACCTACATCAGCGAGCGCCGCAAGATCGCGCACGACCTCATCGCCTTCGACCACGGCCACGCCTCCGCCTTCACGGGCAACGACGCCGCCGCCCTCGCTGCAAACTTCGAGAAGAACATCCGCTTCATCTCCGGCGTCGGCGCCGACTACGACGCGAACGTGCTCAACCGCCCGCTGGCGGCGGGACTGACGTGCGGGCTCGTCCCGGGACAGCTGCTTACGCCGGCCAGGGCAACGAGGTATGTGGATGCAAACCCGGTCGACGTGCAGCGCGACATACCGTGGCTGGGGCAGTGGCGGGTGTATTTCCTAACCGACGACTACCACGCCGCGCGCCCGCTGCTGGAGGGCCTGTGTGCGGCGGTTGAAGCGCCGGGACACATCCTTGCGCGGGCGGCGGCGGCGTCTGCGGCGTCTGCGGCGGCGGAGGGTGTGGCGCGGGCGGGGTGGGTGGCGGCCGATGAGTTTGTGCAGCCGGGGCGGTATCTGGCGGGGGGGCAGCAGGTGCTGAGTTATTCGCTTATCACGCGGACGGCGCGGGGGAGCGTGGAGCTGGAGGAGATGCCGGCGCTGGTGAGGGGGAATCGGTGGGCGGTGTATGTGGATGATCTGGGGGAGGGCGTGTCGCCGGTGGCGAGGTGGGGCGGGGGCGCGGTGGGCGGCGGGGACGTGCTGGTGGTGTGTGTCAGGCCCGACGGGTATGTCGGTGCTGTGGGCGGGCGGTGGGGCGACGGACAGGCGGCGCAGGCGGCGGAGGCGGCGGCGGCGGCGGCGGCGGCGGCGTGGCTGGAGGCGTATTTTGGTGGCTTTTTGGTTGGGTGATTGTGGGCTAGGGTTACAGAGCGGAGAGTGGTGGCGATTTCTGTGGCAGCGATTTCTGTGGTAGCGATTTCTGTGGCTTTCGGGGTAACAAGTATTACTTCACGATCTGATCAGCGAATGGCTTGATTAGACTATTTAGAGTACTACTGCACACAATCGTGATCTTGATCGCAATCGGTAATCTTAAATTTGCGGGAAAAAAAACAAAACTCCCAGATGTAAAGGGTTCGTTACCCCGGATTATTAGCTATAGAAGTGCCGCGCCGGCCGCCGGGTGTACTCTAGGGCACTCTACCGCGGGGATGTCTAGGCGGTGGACAAAAGAAATATAGACGGCGGAGGTGGGAACAGGGGGAGGAGAAGAAGAAAATATATGTGGTGGATAGGAGGAGGCGCCAGTTGTAGGAAGACATGGAAAGAAGTAAAAACACACCAAGAAGTCCATAAAAGAAGAAGAAAAAAGAAGTAACCACCAGCCAACCAGTAAAAGGATTAAAAAGAAGCAAACCACGAAAAAACAAAAAGTAAAAACGACATGGAAAGAAGTAAAACCACGCCCAAGAAGAAGCCCGTAAAAGAAGAAGCAAGTAACAAACGTTAACATCAAAAACATTAAACCCAGTAAAAGTCGTCAAAAGAAGAGGCAAAAAGTTAAAAGCCCGTAAAAAAAGCATAAGAATCCGAAGAAGTAAAAACCCCGTTAAAAAAAGAAGCAAAGCACACAAAACACCAAAACGAGAAGAACCAGCAGATAGTTGAAAAAAAAAAAGAGCCCTAGAGTAGCGAGTAGCTAGCAAAGAAAACAGAAGTAATCCCCCGGCCCCGAAAAGCACCAACGCCCTCAAAAAGCAAAACCCCCATTCCATCCATTCCCCCATCCCCCCAGCCCATCCGAAAAAGCCACCCCCCGATCCCAACCCAGAAAAAAAGCCCCTCCACCATCACCAAACAAGGCGCGCAAAAAAAAAAACCAACACCTAAACCATCCTACTCCTCGACTCCACCTCCCACGCCGCCACGCCCGCCCTCTTCTCGCCCCTGACCCTCAGACTGCCCGTCCACCTCGGCACCGCGACAACGACGAAGCCGTCGTCGTTCTCGTCGTCGTCGTCGTCGGCGCTGCTCTCAAAGTCGTAGGAGTCGCCGTAGAGCCGCTTCTCGAGGTAGCGCCGCTGCAGCTTGCGCGGCGTGACGTAGGAGCGCAGCTTGCGCATGAGGCGCCGGGGCGCTGTGAGGTGGGAGTGCGGGGCGCGCGGGGAGCGCGGGGAGGGGCCCGGGGATTGGGCGCCGGGGCGGCGGTGGAGGGGGTGGGGGAGGCTGAGGGAGAGGGTGCTCATGCTGGGGGTGAGACGGAAGGACATTGTTGTTGTTGTTGTTGGGGATGTGTGGGTTTGAGAGTAGTGGTGGGTGTTTGACTGGGCCAGCGCAGTCTCTCAGTACGAGAGACGGTGTTTTGTGCTGGTTGACGTTTGACCGTTGGTGGTTTGTGCGCGGAGAAGGGAAGGAAGGGAAGAGTTCGCACAGAAGATTCCAGCGGGAGCTTTGAGGTCGTTTAGCGTAATTCCTCGCTTAGAGCCTTTCTATGTAGCGGGCTGCTAGGCTGTGCTATATATAGCGGGTAGACGGTGGATGGTGGACGCACGTAGGTGTGATAAAATTCTATGGGCGCTCAATAGAATTTATATCAGCTCTCCTTCCACTCTTCCTCCTTCCTGCCTCCCGTCTGCCCTACCCCAGCCTTCGACTCCCGCTCGCCTAGCTAGGGCCGTATGCCGTCTGCAGAGTGTAATTGCGCAAGATGACTCCAGTGCAGCAATTGTGGTAGGCAGACGTTATAGATATTGGCAACGTTTGGCTGGGCTTAAATGAGGCGGAAGTTTCTTTTTGCGTGGTGTTGTGCGCAGGCAAGGCGATGTAGTACCGTCGATTCCGATTCCCGGCGCCGATTGATGGTTTCTTTTTTTTTTCTTAACTCTGTGCCGCCGGGATGTGGAAAAGAAATTTTTTTTTGTTCGGACTTCAGGTACAGAGACGGCCATTTCTTTCTTATAATGTGGGGGAGCTCGGCGGATCATGAGGAATTAGCTTTGATGATGATCGACGGTGGTGTGCAAATTCTATGGCGTTGTTCGTCTCGTACGTTGACGTTGTTGTTGTTGTTGTACTACCAGTTAGCTCGTGCAGGCATTGTGACAGGTCGAGTGAGAGCGTGTGATGCGCCTCTACGTGGGCCTGTCTCAACGGCCGACCAGATCTCCGCGGTGGGAGAGCCACGCCAGCTGGCGCCATAGATCGGGGTGGCAGTGCATCGCGCGGTGCGGATAGGCAGGTACGGCGACGACGACGACGACTTTATTTGCGGCTGGATAAATAATCTTCCATTGTAGGTAGTTAATCCGGTCCAGCCAAGAAAAGAAAAGTTGGTACCTGTGGAGTAAGCAAGCTTTTGTAGGCTAATAACTTCTACATGATATGAGAGTATGACAGTAGAGATTGATCGAAACTGTTTCCCTGGACAGCCAATCGCAGCGTGCCTTGGCGGGCCGTGTTCCTGCCAGGGTCATGATGCCCCCCCAGACTTAAAGGTAGCATGAGAAAAACGCCAAGGCTCGAATAACCTTTCAACCACAACAGATATTAAGAATCGGTACAGTTAAAACTCTTCGCCATCACGGTGCCCAGCCTTTTTTTCTGTACAGGTTTTTAATATCAATCGTGGTTGAAAAGTTATTCGAGACTTGGCGTTTTAATTATCATGTTACCTTTAAGGCTGGGGGCACCACCACATTTTTTTCGGGGATGTGCAGGGGTGCGTAGGGTTCTAGATCTTCAATGTACAGTAAACACTCTTTGTGCGACCTGCATGCTACTACTTACATCGTTCAATCGCGAGGGGTTTGACTTCATTGTTTCCCCTTCCTCATGCTCGTGGCTCTGGCCCACTCAACGTCGCGGGGCGGAAAGGGGGCGAGTGTATGGGGGTTGATGCATTCATTAATAGACAACTATGCCTCAAGGTCATGCGATTGGGGAACGGGGGGGAACGGGGGGAACGGGGGGTTTGCATGTGATGTGGGGGAGGAAAATTAGCATTTAGAGTAACGGACACAGGGTGCAGCTTGTCATGGGCTTTTTCGGGCAACGTCATCAGCATCCGATTGACATTCTGGGGGGTCTCTCCACTTTCGTCGTCTTCAAGCTTCTAGTTCGCCATCGATTCGATGCATCACGTACATACGTCTTGGCCACCGCCATTGATGGCAAAGGATCCATGGTTCTCCTTTTCGCAGGAAGCCGGTGACGTTCAGCAATCTACTGGAGGGATCATCATGCTCGAAGGTGCCCAAGCAGATCATAATGAGTATAATATGGAAGACTAGCCCATTTGAGATATACAAGTGCTAATATCAAAACTTAACAAGACTCAGTCTCTCGCTATGACTACCCCTCTTCGCCATCAAACTCGGGGTTGCCGAGAATTTCGCCATCATATCCAATGGTCAAGGGTCAGGTCGAGCCGAGCTCCCGGACATGAATTTCGACCGGCGAGAGAAAATGAGCTCCGAATGTCGGCCCTGCTTCCTTTATATAGATTTTTGCTCTGAGCACATATACCCCCCAACCCAGTCTTCTAATTGGCTGTCTGATCGACAGATCAAGAAAATCAGCTAGCTGACTCAAGTCCAAAACGATACACTTATAAATTACAAAATTTAAAACTCGCTCGGCCTCATCTCGGCTCTCATGGATCATACATTGTATTACTTATCTAACAAGAAGGACACGCGTCAGAAAAGAAAAGTACCCACAATGGCTTTAAGGGCGGAACGGCCTCTGATTTGTTCCCTCAGATAACTGCCCGCGGCAAACCCCTGCACTCAGCTCACAAATTCGCCTTGTCAGGGCACGGAAGGCTCTTAAGTGTCCCGTATCAGGTCAAGTGATACTGTTCGAGCACACTACTCTATTCTCATGGGTTATCCTTCCCTCTTGTCGTATTATGCGCATGCGCTTGTGCTAAATACTCGTATTTTCCTGACGTTTGTAAAAGGAACCACTATTGCATACCATACAGAATACGCGCCAAGTCCACAATTTAGTATGGTATGCAATATCGGTCCCTTTTACAAACGTCAGGAGTATCCCTTAAACCGTCAGTTAAACGCTACCCCAGAGAAAAGCAAATTTAATTAGTGTGGCTAGTTTACTAACAGATCTTCTTAACTTTCTTATCAAACAATAGATCTCCCACACACAAATTAATCCCTATATCATGATCATCGGGGTCAGCAACTGACATACATCCTCGATCCGCCTTTTAGGGCCCCGGCTACACCTAACCCGATGTCAGCTGCACGACGGCGGCCGCCCGGGGTGGCTACAAGACTCCCCCGGATTCGCTACTGTGGCAATCCCAGTATATGTCTCGATAAGAGGTTCCACAAGGAGGAGAAAATCATCAATTTGATGGCGTTGACCCCGGCTTGTAAGGCTTTCCATGCTACATGTGTCGTGCGCAGGGTATAGTAGGGGCTCTTGATGCATATATTTGGTGGCTTACAGTATAAAATGGTGTTATATAGGCCAGCGAAGTGTTCTCATCGAAGTTTCGTCATGTCAAGCCTAAAGAAGAATGGTTCAGGGAGTTCAAGTACCACAAACCGGGGGGGGGGCACTATGAAAAAAATTGACAAGATTAGCGATGTAATGATTAATGAAACTGGAACGATTCAAATGAGAGAATCAAATAAATGGAGGGACGTGGTATTTGTGATACCGGCACAAGTATGGCCCTTTTTGCTGAATTAGTTACACTTTTATCCTATTCTCACTGACACATCAGCTCACCCCTACTAGCTTTATTAGATTTACTTGAGCCTTGTCGATTCGTACTATTAGTCAATACGACACCGCGATCTAGATCTGCGCCCGGGATGTCCATTACCCGGAGGTAGCCTATACACGCTCTAGTCGCCAGTCAGCAGGAGTATTTGAAATTCGATAGACGATCGAGTGATGTTTCGTGACTAGCCTAATTACGTTGGGCGAAATTTGATATGTATTATGTATGTTAACTTTGTGATGTGGAGCAGAATAGTTAACCGGCATAACACATGGGGGATCGACATCGTCTGTTGAAAACAGACCGGACCCAAAACCTGGGGAATTAAATTAGGCAGGAGAAGTTAAAATGATATTCTTCAGCAGGGCTTATCTGAACAGCAACATGCAAGCAACAACCCCGGGCGGAAGCGCTAATCTTTGCTGCCAAGATGTACTAGTATTTTGCACTAATCTAAGTACACAGACTCCGGCGAAAAAAGAAAGAAAAAAAAAAAAAAGGAAAGAAACCTGGGGAAGCACGGCCAGGAAAACATATTCCATCTTTTTCATTCGCAGGCGTCTTTTCTTCACAAGGAGCTAGCCTACTGTTACACCGCCGGTCTTCTAGACACAGAAGAGGAAGGGCATCCCAATCTCAGTGGTTAAGGCTTTTTTCTACCTTTTTAGCGCACTATTACATAAAATTCTCTTGAACGGTACGGGTTCTAGGTACAATAACTTTCGCCGGTGGAGCAGTGTTCTCGGCATGCGGTGCGGGTGAGATGATATGCCGAAAACCTCGCCGTGCCAGGGAAAGAAGGGAAGAGTCGAGTCATTCACTCCGAAGCTGACCTACCGGAAGTATAGTTTCTCCGGCCGTCCGGAGGTTGCTTTGTTTTGGCCAATTGTGGGTTAACCTCCTTTGTGAAAGTCTCTGCAACGCACTGATGATGCTAACCTACTCTAGCAAATCATTAGTCGTACGATTCGTCGGATTCGATACGGGGCATCCGCCATAGCTAATCCTTGCTGGGCTTGGGAACATTTCAAGCCTTTACCACGTTTTCTTCTATTAGGCGAATTTCGGCCCTGGGTAATCCAATCCACCCGGAGTGATGGGATTTGTGGAAATAAAGTTAAGCCCTCAGAGAGTTCAGTTCTGCAGATGAGCTGAACGTGGGCTGAACGTGGGCATAGGTCTCTGGAACGTTGAAAAATTCAATTTCTTGTGGGTTCTATATCAGATCAAGCCGAAAGTCGATATGAATGCGGCCCACTGACCCCAGGTATCAGTTATATATACATGTATGTACCGAGCACCAGGAGGACGAGGATGAACCGGACCGGATGATAACATAACAGTAATCCTCCCCCGGATAGGACGAATTCCTGGGGTTTCCGGTAACAGGGATTGGGTTTGGGGGGGAGCTTACTCCTGAGAAGTATGGCCTGAGCTGATCCGTCGTCTCGGACGGTATTAGCTCGGGCGTATTTAGGATATCCAAAGAAACTTGCATACATACACGAGTTTCTAGCTAGCTAGAGAGACGAGCTCCGATGCCTATTCTTAAGCGGAATCTTAGCAGATGCTCTAATGCAAGGTTTAGGCAAACCATAAAATAGTAACAATTTCTGATCGTAATGAGGGGGGAAAGGCAAGAAGTACCAGGTAGTGAGATGGTACTCGGGGCAGGCAATAAGAACCTGAAAATGCAAGCTGCAAGCAGGGGCTCAATTTGGTGTAGCTTTTCGCCAGCCACGAATCAGAGGTCGTTACCATAAAAAGTCATTTTCAGGTTCTTCTTGCCTGCCCCGAGTATGTATGTATGTATGTATGTAATTGAGGTGTTTTCCCTTGGCACGTGAGTTTTCGTTTTTTTCGATAGTGGGTACGTTGTCGGAGAATATTTGAGGGGGGGGGTGATACGTGCAATATAAAGGCTTGTTAAGTGTAAACATGTACCGGAAACCACTTACCTCTTTTCCACCCCCCCTCCACCCCCTCCCCCCTTCTCTTCTTCCTCCTTTCCAATTCCCAACCAAAGGGGCGGCGACCCGGAAGAAAGCTTTTTGATAGTATATCTATAATATAGCTCGGACTTCTCCCCGGGCCAGATGAGCTAAGCGATTCTGGGAAAAAACGTTTCCGCTTGATAGTCAGTACACATCGCGCGTGTGTTCGGGGCCTGTACTAGCTAGCTAGGGACAGAGCAAATACCCAGTCCTAAAAAACCCATGGTTAAACGAGCGCGAGGTGCATACATAAGACGACGACCCAATACTCTGGAACAGCCTACGTTATGTGTCGTACCGTTAGGGGGGGAAAAGCCACTTACATGTGGGACGGGGATTGATTGGGTGGCCGGCCGGTGGGGGTGGGTGGTGGTGGGAGTATTCTCAAATGTGCTGGAAAGCACCAGGTAATACATATGTGGGTGACGAGCACAAGTTGCCTAGGTAAAAGAGAAGGCCCATCAACTTACCTTACATGTAGAGGTAGGGTACCTCCTACAAGCCGTGTAGATCATCAATGCTTTCCCAGAGTCTGTTTTTTTTTGTAAGGACATGATACAGTAGGCTCTACTTACTTGCACTAGTCTCGAGGGCAGTAGGGAAGATGAAGAAAGGGAACTTGCATTATAATTTGTAAACTTGCATTATCATTTGTACATGTACCCAAGTACATGTGGCTACATGTCCTTGAGTAGAGTACTAGAGTAGTACTACCGTAGCAGAGTACCACGACGCTCGCTCGCTGGAGTGGACTTTCTCGACACTAGCCACGCGAGCCCCACAATATTTGCGCATTTATCAAAGCCCACTCTGTTTCGGTTACATAACTGTAACGACCCTTTTGACCATTCAATTTTCTTTTCTGGCACCTAGCTAGCAGCAAGCAAGCTCGCAATTGCTGGCCCTTGCACAACCATTTACCCAAGAAGAGATTTGCGGCCGGGGGTACGTAGAGTAGCTATAGAGTAAGGGTAAACTACCTCAAGATAGGTACTCGTAGGTAGAGTACTAGGACCTCGCTATACTGCGTGAACTATTGGCTGGATCGATGGGTGTATTTCCTTATCGCCAGCTAACTGAATAACTTTCTTGGCCACCACCACCACCACCAAGGCAGATTGCGGGATGTGAGTGAGTAAGTGAGTTGATCGAGAGTTAATTCTGAAGGAAGGAAGGGTTGCATCCACAACCCACAAGGCTGCGGAGGAGGAGGGGGAGCCGGGAAACACGTGGAAAGAATGAGCATGAGGATTGACACGGGTGGTTGCTACTCTAGCTAGCTGCTCTACTTAGCTAGGTAGCTGTGTAAAGTATCATCCAGCCAGCCACTTTGAATTGCATACTGGTATTGTGCTACTATGTAGGTAACTGTAGGTACGTACTGGCATGGGGTCGAGTGGATGGAGGCTTCTCGTTCCTTTCACCCTCTTCTGATGCATAATGATCCATAATATGCCTTCCTTTCTTCCTCCTCGTCCGTTGTTCCCTTGAATTCCCTACGCCAAACGTTTACCCTGAATGTCATGCATGTAGGTATTATGTACATTTATGTAGTTGCATGTGTGTGATTAACCTCCACCACCGCCGATGGGGCTTGAGGCTTGAGGGGTATGGTGGTGCTGGGTGGATTGATTGTGCACGAACATAACGCCTCCTTCAGATTTTCTCGGCCTGGCTGCTGCTGCTGCTGGCTGGCCTGTCTCGTATATGATGCAGCAGTGTCCCCGTAAAATTGAATATCCACCTACATATTATTTCCCATTCACCTGTACCTACACCTGTCTCCTACTCCTCGATATTCCCGAGTGTTTGGTTCAGGCAAGTGAGTGAGTTGCTGTGTCTTGGTACCCTCTAGGAAGAAAGAAGCACGAGCAGCAAAGCAGCAGCTCCGAGTAATCAATCGCAAATCGAATCGGGGGGATACCTGTCAGTCTGTTTTACATGTGCCCTATCTCTCTCTAGAGTAACTTCTGACAGCTCCTTTTTTCATTCTTTTTTTCCCTTCCTCACTTTGTTATTTTTTTGGGCTCTTCTCTCCTCTTTTCATCCCATCCCTCCATCCCCCCCATCTCCATCCCATCTATTCACCCCATCCTTCCATCCTTCCATCTACCCTTCCATTCTTACTCTAGAACGGTAGGGCATTACATACATATTACCATTAGCCTACAAATCCTCTTCCTCTGCCTCGTCAACCACCCACCCACCCCTGTCAAGAGGGTGTAAACATTACCTCCATCTTACCTAAATACCGACATACCCACAGCTACCTCCGTATACCAAATGGCAGAGAGAATGCAGTCTATATTCAAGCAAAAACCCCCACGCAAGTTTTTCTGCGACTTCCAGAACTGCGGAAAATCCTTCACGAGGGCAGAGCATCTCCAAAGGCATGAGCTGAACCACCGTGACTCACCAAACACCTGCGCTAGATGCTCCGCACACTTTGCCCGGCCGGACCTATTGGGTAAGCTTCTTTTTTTCCATACAGTTGATATTATTTATTCGTTGTTTTGTTTTGTTTGATAGACTGTATTTTCCACTTGTTAAAATTCAATATAACCCATCCAGACTAACTTAGGATGACCTTGGCCGATGGAACAGAAAGACATATGGAACGGCACGCGCAGAAGGACAAGGAGGCAGGCGGGGAAGGGCTCGGGATCTTGGTCACGAGGAAACGGTGCTGGCGTGACGAAAACGGTAATATCACGACAAAGCGGCCGGCGTCGAGTGTGGCCGCCGTTGGGAAGGCTCTTGAAGCTCAGCGGCAGAGGCGGGGCGACAGCAGTGACGATAGTGGTTCGAATGATCCGAGATCTCCTGCGCACGCTGGATCATCGTCGTCGAGCCGGAAACGGAGGGATACTAGTGCTGCCCACGAGGAGAAGAAGGTTGTCGATGATGCGGGCTTCCGGAGGTTTGAGTATGAGCAGCTGGAGATGCAGGATCGGAGTTTGCAGAGTGATAATTTCGTCCTAGCTCCGACGGTCCAGCAACAGCAGGGTTTCTATCTACCGGAGGCCACCACTACAGTTATTGATGGGACTCTCAACCAGTACCATGGGAGTTATGATCCTAATATCTTTGAAGCGAATACAGCACAGAGCTTGGGTATGCCTTTCAGTGGTGGTTACAATAATTGCAATTGGTTTTATGAAGAAGACATGGCACAATCGGGGGAAGCTCAGGAGAACATTGACATGGCCTTGAATCGGGATCTGAGGACGGGTCACGTTAGCACACCTCTCCGAGCGGGGCCGGGCTACATCGAAGGCCCGGGATTGCTAACAACAACAAATGAACCATACCCTAATTTTCCGGCTCAAGTCCACCAAGTCCACCAAGTCCACCAAGTCCACCTGCCACAGCAACAGCAGCAATTTACCAAACCAGAGTTGCCACAGAATAACGTAGTTTTCGAACCGCACTTCTGTTTCCCGAATGGCTCAACAATCCCCATCTCAACGGTTTCGAGCAATTCTCATACTAACAGTGCAATTCCTACTTTGAAACACCGACGAAGTGCAAGGGTTGCAGAAAATTGTCATCAGCTACAACAAAGGCATGTTCCGACACTATCAACTCAATCTTTCCAATTTTATTCAAGTTATTCAGGATCTTACTGTATCCAGAACAATTCTATACCCCCGAGCCTCTCACGGCACCCCTCCACATTCAGACAGCTCAACGAGCCCACACGGAAACGGATCCTCGACTTCCTAATACGAGCGACGACATGTCCCGACACCGGATCATCACCTTTCGGATGGGAAAACCCACTGCTCTGTCTCTCCTCTCTCCAAAGTTATCTAGATCTATCATTTACTCGGTTTCACCCATCGAATCCATCGCATCCACCGCTCGATCGGCAATCTTTTAATCCAAATTCTACCAATACTTTGTTATTGACGAGTATGATGATAATGGGCGGATCAACAACCAATAAGGAGACAGAATACTTGAGTCTCATAGTTTATTGCCTGCTGATAAAAGTATTAGTAAATGTAAGCTCTCTCTAACCATGCTACTGGAGATCTTTCCATTTGAAAACGGGCTCGAAGAACTAACCCAGGAGGAAAGTCTGGCTACTTTCATGCTACACCTCAAGAGCCATGGGTACAGCATACAGTTTGGTTTCTTAAAAACTGGAAAAAGCTGGATTGAACCAGTCAGATCTGGCGCGAAAATTTCATGGGATGTTGATTAATGTATAGATCATTTGTTTCTTGCTTTTTCCGTTTGTTTCCCATTTCTTTACGGGGAGTGAGTGACTTTCGGTCGTGCCGAGAATTGACCGTGGCCGTTGGAACAGCTCAAAAAGAGAAGTGATAACCAGTCGAGTCGCACCCCCTGGACCATCTGATAGAACCTTGGCCAGAGATTGGACCACTGAGCGAAGAAAAAAAAAGAAAACACAATCGTTGTTCATCGGACCAAAATATCGATCCTCCAGCGGCTGCTCATGTATGCGGGCACCGCGTACCGTATTCTAACACAGAGAGTGTGTGTAGACACACCCCTACTTTATTATTTGCTTTCTTTTGTACAACATAACCTACCTACACACCTGTACCTACTCACCTTACTCTGCCTATCTCTCAATATTCCTTCTGCACGTCAGACCTTTTCGATCTGCCGCGTCTTCGTCGTTGTCATTGACTCCCATGAAACTCTGCAACGTGGAAAGAAATTCACCGACGGTATGACGCACCACCAAAAAAAAGGCTGGGCAGCGGGAGGTCATTACTGCATGTATGTAGCCCTGAGCTGCTGCTGCTGCTGCCTTCTGCCTTTGTTCCTCCAGTAACTACTCTCTGAAAATTTCGGGGGCTCAACGGCTTATTCGGATCCCCCCTCACCACCTATCCACCTAGAACATGCCTGACACGGAACCATACCTAAGTAATAAACCAAACACTACCGCATGTAGGGTTAGCTCAGAAAGTGATCTAATAAGCTTTCTCTCCTACCAGGTAAAAGAGAAAGGCCAAAGACCACCCAATCTTAAATTTTTCTTCTCCTCCCCAGTAACTACTGCGTAGTCAGTCAGTCCGTCAGCCAATAGTTTCACTGAGAGAACGAAAATCCTGCACTTTGGCGGCTACCATTGCCGCAGCTTACGACGCCCAAAAAGGGACTCCCCCTCTCCCCATTAAAAGCCCCACCCCCCCCCCCCCCCCCCTCTCCCCAACCGTCATGCCTGCGCAGCCGCCTGCACAGCCGTTTTTTATTTTATTTTATTCATGCATCTTTTACTTTCTCACCGACCGATCCGGTCCGTCGGAGATAGGCCTGTATGTCTCTGTTCCTTCCATCACGGATTTTTATTTTTATTTTTTTACCATTGCCGATTATGACCCCTCTCGGCCGATTTCAATTCTCGCTCGGCCTTCGGGGGTGGTGAGGACGCGGGCCGATATAGCCGCTGCGGGGGACCGGGCTGGAGTCCCGCTTTGATGATGATCAGTCCGTCCGATCTGTGGCTGGGCTACCGTCTGTTATGCATGATGATGGAGTTTCCTTTTGTTTTGTTCTAATTACCGATACTTCAAATATTTGAGCGGTGTGTATGTTCTGGTTAGTGGGTTTGGGTGGTGAAGAATAGTAGAGATGAGGGATTTTGTGGATATACGATGGGAGGTGTGAAATTGAATAGAGTGATGTAGCTATAGTTGACCCCCCCCCCCCCGCATGATGAGCCGCGATGACGGTTTGTGCCTATAATAGTCGACAGCTCACTAGTGCGGTTTCAATTGCGGGGGAACCTGGTTAAGAAACAGTATGTGACAATTTTGGCATGTGGCATGTGGTTCCAACAGGGGAGTTCCATGAATTGTGAACTATGGTACGGGGTGTGTGTCCGCAACGCTTGGGGAGTGTTTCTATGGCATTTGTTTAGTAATCTGTCTCAAACTCAAAAGCAATATATCGAACAACGGAACCTCTGCTTACTGTGGTAGTTATGGCGGTGGGTAGTTGATCATGCAGGTTGCTGGCGCGAGGGAACAATATTTATCCGAGTGATATCGTATGACGGAGTGATTGTCGGCTAGAGCTGCAAAAAAAGTATGGCTTGGCCGCCGTTAGCCATTTTGAGGTTTCAATCCTTCCCTGGATCAATCAAATTATGACATGCCCTATATATATGCAACCTGGTGATTTATATCGTTCAACTGTGGAAACGAAAGCTTCTTTTGTTCAGCAGACAAGGCTCAGCGTGGCACATGGATGGCTGGGGGAGGCACGGTTACCTATCGATAAGCCTCAGAGCAGGGATGAGCACACTATCCCCATTTCGGTCTCGCAACAATGCAGAGCTGATTGATCCTCAACATGATAGACATCGCGCAGAGCGGGTCGATAAGAGAGGAAGGAGTAGGAACGTTGAGTATCAAGAATGATTGGTATAAATCAAATCATTCTTCTCTACCTACCACAATTAGGGAGGTATTCCGGGAGCCTGAGATGTGTAGTAGTTTCGTAGGTTGGAAGTGGCGCCTTTACGAGAGCTGAACTGTGCAGATGATCTATGATGTTAGCCAACGCCTCCTGTAATGCCGTGCTGTGCTGTAAAGTCTCAAAACCGGGCATCATTTGAATTCCCACTCCCTCTTTGTGCCCTTCATGTCTGCGCTTCCCCTTTGCTCAATCAACCCTCTCTAGGTTGTCCTTCACAACAACCATCATACGATACCAATAACTCACGATGTCTTCAGCAGGAGGATTGCTGCTCCCCATGCCTCCTCCCCCATCTACTGCAGCTTCAGTTCCATCCCCAAACACCGCCACCCCCGTATCTCCCTCCGCAGCTCTAACTCCATTGATCCAACGTACATTCACAAACTCCACACTAACCTTCTGGCTCAATGGCACTAAGCTTGCGCTCAACAATGTCGACCCCGAAGCCACGCTTCTTGACTTTATCCGCTCCCAACGCGGACTGAAAGGGACGAAGCTCGGCTGCGGCGAAGGTGGCTGCGGTGCTTGCACAATTGTTGTCCAGCAGCGTAACAGCACCACTGGGAGGATTGAGCATCTGAGCATCAATTCGTGTCTTGCGCCGGTTATTAGCGGTACGTAACACTAGCCTCTTTGTTTCGTCGGTTGCTGCTTCCCATTGGCTGACTTGGTTGAATAGTCGAGGGTAAGCACGTGATCACGATTGAAGCCCTCGGAAGCGCAGCAAATCCGCACCCGCTGCAGGAGCGGATTGCGAAGCTGCACGGGTCGCAATGTGGCTTCTGTACTCCGGGAATTGTCATGTCGTTGTATGCACTGCTACGTAATGCATACGATCCGGAGACTAGGACGTATAGGCTGAGTGAGGAAATGGTAGAGCTGGAGGGCGCGCTAGATGGCAATTTGTGTAGGTGCACAGGGTATAAGCCAATATTGGACGCGGCGAAAAGCTTTGTGAAGGAAGACCTTGGTGGAGTTGTGGTAGAAAGCTCCAGGGGAAAGGTGGTACGCCCTGAAAATGGGCTGGGTGGGAATTGGACAGCTTCTCAGGCGACAGGATCGTGTGGGCGACCAGGTGGGTGCTGTAGAGACAAACCGGGGTCGCCATCATCTGACACCTCGAGTGATGTCGATTCCGCTTCTACGGAAATCACGGAGGAATCAAATGGGGCACCAATATCGGGATCGACGTACGGTGCCCCTCTGAAATCTTCGAAACGCGAAGATGGGTGTCAGCTCTCTTCGGGGGCCTCAAAATGTGCCACGGAGGCCGAGGTACTATCGGGGCTAAAAGGGGGAAAATATTCCTTCCCCCAGTTTAATTTTAAGACATACGAGCCACATACGGAGATCATCTATCCTCCTGGGCTACAAAAGTATGTTAAACAACCTATCTGCTTCGGCAACTCAAAAAAGATCTGGTTTCGGCCAACGACCCTTGCACAATTGCTTGAGATCAAGGATGCTTTTCCCTCTGCGAAGATGGTGGCCGGATCCTCAGAGGTGCAGGTGGAGATTCGTTTCAAGCACCTGCAGTACGCCGTTGCGGTGTACGTTGGTGACATCGAAGAACTCAAGTCCTTCACCGTCGACGAGGGAGCAGGCACAGTAATCATTGGCGGCAACACCCCTTTGACCGTTGTGGAGCAAGGGTGTTTGGAATGGTACCGAAAGCTTGGTAAGAGAGGCATGGTGTTGGAGGCGGTTAGAAAGCAACTGAGGTATTTTGCTGGACGACAGGTCAGTCGGTCATTTGCCCCATGTCTGCATTATGTACTCTAGCTAGGTGTGGCATGCTCATGATTAGTATCTAGATTCGCAATACTGCAACCCCAGCAGGAAACATCGCTACCGCGTCCCCCATATCAGACCTCAACCCGGTACTGGTTGCCTCGGGGACCATCCTTACCGCCCAGTCTTTCTCTAGGGGATCGTTCGAGATCCCGCTGACAGACTTCTTCATTGGCTACCGCGAGACCGCCCTGCCAGCAGACGCGGTTATCACGCAGTTGACTATTCCACTAAGTCCAGTTAATAGCCGCGTGGTTGTTAAAGCCTACAAGCAGGCCAAGAGAAAGGATGATGATATTGCAATTGTTACTGCAGGCATGAGGGCTAGTCTTGACAAGGATGGACTAGTCAAGGATGTCTCGCTAGCTTATGGCGGGTGCGAGACCAACCCTAACCCTTCCATTCGATCGAGTGCTGACTGGTGATGGTGATACAGTATGGCACCAAGGACTGTGACGGCACGAAATACAGAAGATGTGTTGAGGGGTAAGAGATGGTTCGACAAAAATGTTTTGGAGTTAGCAATGAACGCTATGGAGAAGGACTTCGATCTATCGTTCACCGTTCCGGGAGGAATGCCGACTTACAGGAAAACACTCGCCTTCTCGTTCTTTTTCAGGTTCTGGCATGAGGTTGCCGCCGAGCTAGACCTTGGAAACGAAACCGAACGGGTTGATCATGAGCTCATCAGCGAGATTTATAGAGAGGTGTCGACGGGGTCACGGGATAATGAAAATCCATATGAGCAACGCGTTGTCGGCAAGCAAATACCGCATCTCTCGGGGTTGAAACAGGCGACGGGAGAAGCAGAGTACATCGATGATATCCCAAAGTACGACGGGGAGTGCTATGGCGGATTAGTTTTATCTTCACGAGCTCACGCGAAACTCATAAAGTGATTAAATCCTTCCTCTCTAATGACAAGTGCTAATATCAGTAGAGTTGATTTTACCCCTGCTTTAGAACTCCCTGGTGTTCTTGGATATGTCGACCATCATGATATTCCTCAGGACTGCTCTTACTGGGGTTCTGTGGTGAAGGATGAGCGTTTCTTTGCCAAGGATGTTGTAGAGAGTCATGGACAACCTATCGGCATGATATATGCAGAGACGGCTGCTATTGCACAGGCCGCTGCAAAGGCAGTCTGCATTGAGTATGAAAACCTACCCATGATTCTCACCATCTCCGAGGCGATTGAGGCAAACTCATTCTATCCCCACGATCACCAGCTCAAGCGTGGTAATCCAACTGCGGAAGCTTTCAAGGATTGCGATTTTGTCTATGAGGGTGTGACGAGGATGGGCGGACAGGAGCATTTTTACCTCGAAACTAACGTGGCACTCGTGATTCCACGACCTGAGGATGGTGAGATGGAGGTTTGGTCCAGTACACAAAACATCATGGAGACACAGGAGTTTGTTTCCCAAGTGACAGGGGTCCCGAGTTCTAGAATCGTAGCGAAGGTGAAGAGAATGGGTGGCGCTTTTGGTGGCAAGGAGAGTAGGTCCGTTCAGTTGGCTTGTATCTTGGCTGTTGCCGCGAAGAAATCAGGGAGGCCTATGAGATGTATGTTGAATCGTGATGAAGACATGTGAGTTATCCCGGGATTACTCCACTATTAGGTCTTTTTTACTGACCCTTCAGGATGATGACTGGCCAGAGAAACCCTTTCCAGGCTCATTGGAAGGTTGGTGTCTCGAAAGATGGCATGCTTCAAGTGCTCGATGCGGATGTCTATAACAATGCTGGGTATTCTAGGGATTTGAGTGGAGCCGTGATGGACCGTGCTCTCACTCACATTGACAACAGCTACTGGATCCCGAATGTTCATGTTCGAGGTCATGTCTGCAAGACCAATACCCACAGTAATACTGCATTCCGTGGATTTGGTGCCCCTCAAGGGCAGTTCATTGCCGAGTGTATGATGTCCGAAGTAGCAGACGCTATGGGGATTTCAGTTGACGATTTCCGCCAAAAGAACTTGTACGAAGAAGGACAACTCACACCGTTCTTACAGAAAATCGAGGACTGGCATGTGCCGCTTCTCCTTGAGCAGCTACGGGAAGAGGCTGACTACGACCGCCGTGTTAAGGAGGTAGAAGAGTTTAATAAGACTCATAAGTGGAAGAAGCGGGGAATTTGCTTGATACCTACCAAGTTCGGCCTATCTTTCGCCACGGCTGTTCATCTCAACCAAGCTGGGGCTCTCGTTCATATTTACCACGACGGCTCCGTCCTGCTCGCTCATGGTGGCACTGAGATGGGACAAGGACTTTACACAAAGATGTGCCAAATCGCTGCGCAAGAGCTCAATGTTCCAATGGACTCGATATTCACCAGTGAGACATCTTCCAACACAGTGGCAAATACCTCTCCAACTGCTGCTTCCTCTGGTAGTGATCTCAACGGTATGGCCGTCCAAGATGCCTGTAGGCAGCTCAACAAACGTCTTGCACCATACAGAGAAAAGTATGGCCTAGATGCTCCAATGAAGCAGCTAGCCCACGCCGCATACCTCGACCGCACAAACCTCTCCGCTAACGGCTTTTATAAAATGCCAAGTGTCGGCTTCACCTGGGGAAACTATGTAGACCCCCGCCCGATGTACTTCTACTTCACACAGGGCGCCGCAATATCCGAGGTGGAGCTTGATGTCCTGACAGGAGACCACACCGTACGCCGCGCGGACGTTAAGATGGATGTCGGTCGTTCCATTAATCCTGCGATCGACTACGGGCAGATCGAAGGGGCATTCGTGCAGGGTCAGGGGCTCTTTACTCTTGAAGAGTCCCTGTGGTGTTCCCGCAGCGGTCAACTGCTCACCCGTGGGCCGGGAACGTATAAAATTCCCGGATTTGCTGATATTCCCCAAGTATTCAATGTGAGTATACTGAAAGGCATGCAGTGGGCCGCACTGAGGTCGGTGCAGTCGTCAAAGGGGATCGGCGAGCCGCCATTGTTTCTAGGAGCCGCGGTATTATTTGCTTTGAGAGAGGCGGTGAAGGCGGCAAGAGAAGAAATGGCAGTGGAAAAGGGAGTTTTGGCGTTGGGATCACCAGCGACCGCGGAAGAGCTGAGAGTGGCCATAGGAGATCGGATTGTGGAGTGGGCGAGAGTAAAGAAGGAGGAAGGGGAAAAGGGGGCGTTTGCAGAGGCCCAGGCCTAAGGATGGTTTCGTGCAGGGTTTATTGAATTCCGTTTTTAGTTTTCTTTTCCTTTACACATGTAACACCTGTATTCGGAACATTAGGTAGTGTTTTTCTTTTGTTAGTCAAATACCAACACAAGTTGTGCATGTGAGGGTCCCGCTTGTAGTGTAATCCTGATTTCTGATATTCTCACCTCATCCCTGTCTCTCTTGTAGCACAAGTCTATGGGGAAAGTCTGGCAAGATGTGTCTAGTTGAGCACATTATAATCATGATCTATCACTCGAACTTAGAAAATGTAGCTTATGTTGGAGACTTCTTGGAGTCCTTACCTGAACCGGTCTGGCTCATAGGTATTTTGTCTTAAAGAACTGATTTGGTGCATGGGTTCCAGGCTGATGATGTACGTCTACGGGCGGAAACCATAGTCCATCGGAGCAAGATTGTGCCTCGGATCATTACACGTGTAGACGATTTGATGTCAAATAGTAGAAGAGGCCTCAACTACCTAATCCACTAATATATGACTGAGTAAATCACCATCGGCACTTTTCGATCCTATTCAATTTGAAGTGTCAGTTTTGTAGCCTATGTAGGCGAGGGTGTAATTATATACTAGAATACCTACAGATTGTGAAGGCGATGATAAATTACAAAGGCTTATGCTGTGGCATTTGTTTCGGAACGTCCATTTCAACTTGAGGCCCACGTTGTCAGCAAAACAAATACATATACTAAGTTGGGACCGCTGTAATTGATTATGTTGCCTTGTTTTAATGAGTAGGTAATATAATTTCTGGTAGCGAGGAGAGGAACTGCAACTTGGCATCCGATTAAAATCAAGCTTGACGAGATGAGGTCTTGGTTGAGTTCCTAGTGGGCGTAATGAGTGATTATAAGTTTCAAGATTTGTTATATAGAAAGAGAATCAGTGGGATAGAGTTTGTTTTGATGATGAGAGCGGATGAGGACAGAAGGCAGTGTATGGCTGGGGCTACCATCTGGGATAAACACGTCTCTTCAACTCGGCAATCTCAGATCTGGTCTACCCGGGCGACGAAAGGAGGACTTCTTGGCGTCAGGGAGACTTTTAGTGTGTCCTGTAGTACTAAGCAGTCTAGTTCCCGCTCCTGTACTCGTGTTACTAACACGTAGGCTAGTTCAAGAGTTCTAGAGTTTATAAAGAACTGAGCGCACTACTGGTGAGCGATTCTCAGAAAGATAAAGACGCGCTTTTGTATCCCTCATTTCCACTATCAACTCACTGTTCTCTTCTTTGTCATTTTCCGGCCCCCCCAGCGTACTATGTTGATATGAATCATAGGTGATCACTCGCCATCTAGTCACATTATACCTACCACTCCTAGGTTAGCTCAGGTACATATATACTCTCATCATCTGGAATACACTCGATTTATATATCACACATCATACGTACATCTATCAATTTAGGTAAAAGGCACGTCGAGGCGGTATTACCCATTCTGAAAGAGGAATTCTTACGAGAGAGGGGATGCGGCCTACATAGTATCTCATCAAATCTTCGTTTTTTGTTGCCGTTTGGATCCACCAGGCTATTCATTACGCTCTCATATTTCCTGTCTCCCGCTTCCCTTATTTTCTGTTTTACGGTAGACAAGGAGAAGGTCGCAGCTGACAGGTGACCATAGCGAGAGCTATACGTCTTTCAGGTGATGTCGCTAAGGAGTAATGCGGCTTACTGGGAAATTTTAACGTATAGTATTATATTTGAGTCTCGAGATCATGTATATCTATAGGTCACCCGTATTGCATTGATCTTGAGTTGCTCGTCATACTATGTTCGAATTCAATCACGTCCATGATTATTGAATAAAGACCTACCTAGGGCTTCAGTACTTCTATGCGTCTGTACCCCTACTCCCTTTCACGCTTTGCACTTGCGTAGTAAAGACCCGGTAACCCGTAAATAAAAATATCATAAGCCCAATTTTCTCATCTGCTACCTACTCCAAACTCCATCTCCACCATATTACACCAATCAACATTTCACGTCCCCACGCGCACTCCCCAAACCCCCAAACAACAAAACTAGCCAATTAATGGTGTTTACAACAAGGATGTCACTCAGAGACCGATGGACAAAGCTAACCCACACCGTACGGTGGATCTGGTTTATGCTCTTCTTAACCACCATCGCTCTCATTGTTGTGCTCGGCCTGCACATAGTCTTCTTCGCCAACACACACAAGGACACATCCGACTGGATGATTAACTGCGCCCCAACCGATGCTATTCCCCTCATCTCCGATGCCCAAGACGCCGTCACCGAGCTCGCCACCATGCCCACCGAGCACTGTAGAGCCCTCGACCGCAGCACCATCATCCTCTGCCACGGCACCGCCTGCATATCGCGTTTTGAGCCTATCGAGGAGCGCCGTTTGAAGGAAATAAACGGCTACAAGGAGTACCCCGAGTCGGAGCCTACGTGTATGTTCTGGGCGAATTGGCTGAATAGAATCATTGAGAAGTCGGAGTGCCGGTCACCGGACGGATTAAGGGCGGAGGGGAGGATTATAAGGGACAATGAGGGGCAGGATTTGTCGGATGTGCGCTTGCTTAGCAATACCACACTCGGGTGGACGTTTGGACGATGAGTTTTATGGGCTTCTGGTTCAGATTGGGAGCTTAGAAGAGTAAATATTCCACGTTTATCCCCTATTTATTTTAATGAAAGCTTTTTTCTCTGTTCATTTTTTCGTGAATCAATAACGTATACCTAAGTACATATTCAGTGAAAAAAACATAATCAACGAAGTCTTCCGGCTTCACAGCTGGTTCGTATTATGTAACAAAGAATCAACGGAACCTATCGAGTGATAATCCATGATAAACTATGAAGTCATTGACTTCTCGCCTTTCTTTTACTTTTTGCCTTTAAACAGACTCGGAATGATTCTCGAATTCATATCAGTTTTATGTTTGTCTAAAACTTTAAAGTCTGTCTAAAACTTTAAATTGCTCCAACTTGTTGAATCGCCCATAGTCACAGGTTTAGGTTCCCGACATTTATGCTTTACTCTCCCGGCTTTCTTTAAAATTTCTGGCCCCACAAAAAAGGTCCAGGGAACCTAAGGGGGATTTTTCATAGGTCACATTTTAGTTGACTGACTACCAAATCCAACTCACCTCCATACTCTCTCGACCCACAAACCTCACCTAAGATATTTACCTGCTCTTCATAATTCTACCAATCCTCCGAAATTCAGGCTTGTTCATACCGTTCTTCTTATCCATCTGCCCCGAGGAATCAATAGTGCATAACTCCAGTTTGTCGGCACCTACGCGCTAAACGTGTTGTAATCTCCGAGTGATATTTAATGATTCAAACGGCCTAAGCCACATCCTACGGTATGAAACTATATAGTTCAGCCTGATTAAAAATATTTGTCTTCTTTCCCCTTAAACTCAATGCCAATCGGGGTTCTTTCGTGCGACGCCGGTCTGTTCCGTCTAGTGAGTTTTGCCATCTGATATACTAGAAGCTACCTAGGACTCACACACCACACGTGTAAGGTAGCAAACAGCCAACTACATGTAGTTCGCGATGCGTACAGCCGCATTCGAAAAGTACTGGCTCCCTACTATATTGAGTCGTTCATGAATTGTAGCCCACCAACAACCATGGCACTCGCGCATACTCAACCTATTGACAGGTATGACCGCAATAGAGACATTGCAGCTCTCTCTGACAACGGCCTCGAATATGAGAATTGCAAAGCAGAAAGGACTGCCTCGTGATTTTGGCCCGGAGGTGCTAAAACTTTTCGAATGCGGCTGTACAAGTCTGAGTACTGATCAACCTTCTTACGTATTTGCTGACCTTGCGTTCGTTTCTGTCGTTTTAGTAATCTCTCTCCTCGTCAAAAACATTCCCCTCAAATACAAATAGCCACAGGTCTCAAAATGCGAACACAGTAGAGCGGATTTCGCACCACCATCCTGGAGCGTATGAATATGTAATGCGAATGCTGCTGGAACCAATAGTACTGCACTACCTTTCACCTTCACTTCTGGGGGTACTTCAGGACGTTTCACCTGAGCATACATATGTGCTATATGCCGCTAGGCTTCGTAGTGTAGAACAGCGAGATGTCGTAATACTAGCTAGACCTGCGATTAGTTGGGGATACATGTAGCTATAGGTGAGTGGTTGAGGGTGAACGGCGAGGCGAACTGGACGGATGTGGGCGTGTTTGATGCGAATACACTGTATGAGCGGGTGTCTAGACCTGAGATGAGCGTCGGGATGAAGGAGTGCAGAATTAATTTTCTTACTTTGGTTAGATTTATCAATTAGTATATGTGAGTGAGATATTGTTCCTTGGCACTGCCCATCAGGCTTTTGTCGTCAGTCAGCAACTCACGGTCACACGGGATCCCGAGAACTGTTTTACGAGAGCACGGCAAGCGGGGTGCCGACCTGCATTTCACCCTATATATATGTCAGCCTGGGCCATCTATTTGTCCACTTTACAAGTGGGCGGTACACTGGTTTTATTAATTCACGAACGGTCAAGGCTGATAAATAGGTCAGAGCACGTGGCTACAACTAGATTCTCCTATCCCAGGCGAACAAATGTTCCTTAGTTTGGGCCAGCCTTCTTAAGGTCGTTTCGTGTTACTGTGGCACAAGGTGCGGGTTGGTGATGGAAAACAGCAGGCCGACAGCCAGCGCAGCATGCATGCAGCCCTCTTCATTATGTCGACATTCTGGAAGGACAGAGCTCCACTTTCCCACTCGGCAGCTACATTTACATCTACACTCCCCGCAATCCTCGCTTTTACAAGTACGAGAAGAAAGTCAGGCCCAAAGCAAACCTTCGTGGTACCTTTTGAGTGATACGGAAACTGATGAAAGGCTAGAGACAGATAAACACAGCCTTCTTTACCCGTATAACGGTAATACTATTATGGGATCAAGTCGCTGCTGATTCTGGATCACTTCTTTTGCCATGTCCGAAACAAACATGCCCTTTGGTGAGCATAAAGCCTTTCTGTTAGTCCGATGATCTGGGCTTAGAGGCCTGCCATAAGCAGCTGAAGAGCAGAGGCTTGGGCTTCAGAGGTTCAGGTTTGAGGACAGGAAGAAAGGACGCTTCTGGCTAGAGACTGACAGTTATGGGAAACTGGTACTTGGACAGAGGTGTCTTTACAATGAAATTTAGTGATTCCTACACAAGAATCAAATAGAGAGGAGAGAAAAGGTTATGAACAAGCTAGAATACACTATTGTTTCTTCATAACAAAGTTAAACACATGTTGGGGTCCCTTCAGATGCATCCTTCCATTAATTTGCCAATAACCGTCAATAATCATTAACACAAACATTAGGGGCGCAAAAAATCGTCACAATACAGACCTCACCGCAGCACTCTCATGCGGCGTTTCCGCCTTTGGCCAGCACCTATCCACCTACACCACCCGCTTGTCAGCAAACCTCGTCTCATCACGCCCGCACAATAGAAAACTCACCTCTCTCTCACACTGCCACCCCAGCAACCACGGACCCATCTCTGGATCTCTCCACGCCAGCGCCTCACCGGGCTCCGTCGGGCACATCCTCATCTTTCGATCCCTCTCCCGCTGTTCCTCGCCATCATGCAGATGATATAACTCCTGCTGAACGTTTCCCCTCTCGACCACTCTGGCTGTACGCTCCCTCCTACACGCTTCATACACGGCCAGCGCCGTCAATACATCCTCGCGGGATCTGATGCGGCCTAGACACTCTCCAAGCACAGCCGCATCTTCGAGCGCCATGCCCGCGCCCGAGGCCAAGTATGGGAGTGTTGCGTGCGCGGAATCACCGAGAAGGACGAAGGTCCCACTGGGGTGATACCAATGCTCTGGGGGGTGTCGAATCAGCAACTTCCATTTATGCACTTGTGTGCATAGTGAGAGAAGCTTGGGGATTCTGGGTGAGTTAGTATATCTTTAAGAATGTGGTTAATCAATGATATAGAGAAATTGGCGTTATTTACCGGGGGTCCCAGTCTTTGTATAGAGCCCGCATCTCTTCGACATTGCCCTCAACCGTTGTGGCACCACCGTCGGGGATGTCGTCGGGTACTAGGAGTACCATGTTAAACTGCTTACCGCCCTTGAGTACATAATTAACTGTCTCGCGATCATCAGCTGTGTCTCCCATCCCACTACATCAGAAAAACCAGTTTTTTGATCATTTACCCCAACCCCAACCACTATTCCATACTGGAACTCTAACTAACAAACTTACCAGCATGACAATCCGGCCCCAACCAATAATTAACCTGTGGATCTTCTACAAACCCCTTCAATTCCGGATCTTTCTTCATCTCCTCCGTACTCAACAGCACTCTATATGCCAGATCTCCCGTCCTCACCGGGGGATCAACCCCACCCATCAATACTTCTCTCATCCTACTGGCAACACCATCTGCCCCCACCACCAGATCAGCATACATCTTGCTTCCGTCCTCTAGTACCACCGTGCTTCCATCCTCCCCAATCTCAACATCCATCACCCGCGCCTGGCACACCACCCTCGCGCCCAGCTCTACCGCGCGCTCTAAAAGACACCTGTGCAGCCCGGCCCTATGGAAATCCCAAAAGGGCGAACCGTACCGCTTCGTGGCGTCGTGGAAGTCCATTGATGCTATGTGGTCCCCTTTCCAGCTGATCATGTTGACCTGTTTTGGCAGGGTCGCATGTTGCATGAGGGAGGGCGCGAGGCCCCAGGAAATAAGGAGGCGCGAGGCATTGGGGAGGATTTGGATTCCGGCGCCAATCTCGCCGATGGTCGTTGCGCGCTCGAGGACCGTTACATGGTGGCCGGCGAGGCAGAGCGTGATGGCGGCGGAGAGGCCGCCGAGTCCCGCACCGACTATGATGATCTGAAAGGCGGTTAGTGGGTGTGTGGAGGGAGAAAGAGCGATAAACATACGTTGAGGGAGATGGGGGATTTGCTGTGTGACATTGGGATGAGGTTCTTTTCTTTGTGGTACGGTTACACTGCTAATGATGGGGTACTTTTCAACGGCGCTCTGGAGCTTGGGCTGGAGCTGGAAACGGATGTGGCAATGGTATTTTTGCAGAATTCAAAATATTTAGTAACAGACAGAACAAGAGCGAGAAAGCAAGTATTAAACCTCCAAATCTTGAACGATAGAAAAACTTTAAATACGCAGAGATGACCCCTTCTGTCTACCAAAGGGAGGTAAGAGCAGCAGTTAATGGACTTGCCCCAAGTGGCCATTGATCTTGCATTTCGATAGAGTAGCACGTCGCGAATGGAATCGCAGGGGAGATAGGGTACCTGCTCATCATGCGACAGCTTGCATCATGTACTCTGCCAAGTAAGTATCCCCACCGAAGTGCTCTCCTGGACACCAATACATCATAACGTATCACACACCTCCTAAGGCAGTCGAGATGGCTATCAACGGATTACTAAACGTGGTAGTCAATCCGTCGTCGCTTAGGGACGGACCGGGGGATGCAGACGATCGAGTTGAGGGCGAGGGCGAGAGCGAGGGCGGCGAGGAGCTGCACATGTAGGTCTTTGGAGCTGTCAGTCAATCTATGTGGGTATTTATTAGGTATTCTAGCATGCAGAGGGCGTGGGGAGGTTGAGTAGATGCATATATGGTTGGGGACACCTTGAGCCGGAGTGTCAAAGTTGCCGAAGTTTGAAACTTAATGGCCAACCACCACAACACATTAAAATTAAAATAGCTCTGTAGGGTGATAGAGGAAGAGGTAAATAACACTGTAACAGAGCCCAATTAATTTTATCTGTTGTGGTTGTTGAGCTATTGAATTTCTAAAAGTTGGGTTTTTGGTGAGAGGCTGACCAAATGTCACACATTAATTACCTTCCAGGCCAATAACTACCTGATTAGGAGTACGCTAGTATATAATTACCCGATTGGGAAGACATCTCTAGTTCATGGCCAGTATCTTGGCATAAACCTACTCTCTTGGCACTTTTGGATCGATTTCATGCCAAGTAATTACTAGATTAGGAATATGATCTTCACTGGAGGCCAATGTTGCACGCCCCGTCTCTAGGTGTCCCCAACCATAGGCTAGTAGTACTACTCTCCTCGCTACTGCTCTCTCAAATCCCTGTTGGTAGGCTCGTTGAGTAACGGGCAAAGCACGGTCCACTTTTTAAAAACGTTAAGTCTTTAGGAGCACTTCAATAGGGTATGTGCCGTTCGGGATAAAAACTCCCTTTAAGTATATATTAACATAAAGGATAAAAATAGTTTATTTGCGCCGCAAGACCACATCGGCTTAAACCGGCCAACTAAATCCTTGGTTTAACCCTAACCCTATGGGTTTGGGGATAGTTCAATCGGAAATTATTAGGACCTCTTATTTGCCCGACTTATAAACACGCACTGAAAAAATTGGACAGACACTGTCACGTAGAGTTTCCCGCTTGAGGGGCCAGTACAGCACATGATTTGTTTTTAACTATCTATGCAGCTATGCGAAATCCTAATTAAGGCTTCACTTCCAGCTGTGTCAGTGCCTCCGGGGCCGGAGGTTTAAGGTCTTCCTTTGTCTTGGACATCATCTCACCAGCGGCACTAGGCAGCAGCGCGCCCGCGGGATACGGGTTCTTGCTCTTAAAGTCGTCGCAGATCTGTTCCATGGTGACCCATTCCACGCCCTCGTGCTTATTGATGTGCTCAATCAACCTTTCCCCACGTTAGACATCGATCCACCCGGACCAGGGCTAGAAGAAGGAACAATACCTCTCGTGCATCAAAAGCACATGCGGCCGCCCGGACACATCTGGATGTATTGTCATCGGGAAGATAAACTCGTCATACTCGCGATAGAAGTAGTCGAAATGGTCCCTCCAGATGTCCTCGACATCCCTGGGGTTGGTCCATCCGCCACCGTAGCCACTCCCCTTGATAAACATCATGGGCGGCAAGTCGTCGATGTACCAGCTCCCCGGGATCTCGACAAGCCCGGTCTCTTCGCCCTTGACAAGCGGCTTCATCCACTCGTCGGCGCGCTTGGTGTAGTCGATCTTGGTCCACGAGTCGCCCTTGCGCAGGTAGTATGCCTGGCAGTCGTGGTGCGACATCGAGTGGTCGTACTCGATCCCGTATTTGAGTAGCAGCTCCGTGCCCTCCGCTGAGCACTCCCACCACGGGACGACGTTGCCGCGCGGCGGCTTGCCGCAGAACTCAGTGATGAGGCGGAACGACTTGTCGAGGACGTCGCGCTGCTGCTCCCAGCTCATGTCCACGGGGTTCTCATGCGAGTAGCCGTGTAGACCGCTTTTTAGCGCTTTCTGTTAGCTCAATTGCCCCCCATATATGAGTTTGGAGATTGGGGGAGGAACATCTCGTGCCCGGCATCCCGGATCATGGCGCATTCCTCTGGAAACGTCTCGAGAGAGTGTCCGGGAATGAACCAGGTGGTTTTGATGTTGTATTTTTCGAAGAGCTTGAGGAGGCGGCGGACCCCGATGGTGCCGGCCCAGAGACCGCGCGAGATGTCGCTGGTGGAGTCCTCGCCGCCGTAGGAGCCGAGCCAGCCGGCGACAGCGTCAATGTCGATGCCGTAGGTGCAGAGGACGCCTTGGATGTGCTGGTTAGTAAGATCTTTAGAGGAGGGTAGGGAAGAGATATACGTTTCTTGCCCATTGTGGAGTGTAGAGAGGGAGGAACGGGAATTGAGGTGGGGAGGGTTTACTGATCGACTGTAGGGGCGGGGGACATGGTCACGGTATTTATAGGCAAGATATGCACTTCTTTTGTCCACTCATCTCAGGTAGAGCTTCAGCTTTCAGCACTCATTCTCTCTTCGCAGATACGAGCTGTGAGACTGAATGGGGGGAGTGGGAGAGCTTCCGTCGTTTCCCCGCCATTGCTAGGGTGTTTTAGCTATCACTTGTCGCCTTATCGATAAGAAGTAGCAACCCCGCTGTGCCATGGAACGTGCCGTGCACTAACTACCAGCTGGCTTTGCCGAGTGGAGCTCCGTACGCCCAGGAAGACAATGTTGGCCGGAATCTCTTCTCTTATTGACGGGGTTTTCAAAAATTAAGTCGTAGACTGCATCTGGTTCAATTGAGGTCACGCTGGATTGAACGGGTTGCCCAAAGTAATATGGGAATTGATTGAGCTGTACTGTGCACAATTGAAATTCTATGATTTGCTGAACGGGGTTCCGTCATGTTCGGGCCGTAAAAATGGGTCGGAACGCCCTCGCTGCACGGTACGCGCTGGCCTCGTTCGAACCCAGCCGTGTAGGCATGAGACTAAAGTACTATGGGCCAGGTACATATGTACCTGCTCCACCCATCAAAGTAGCGCGATAGAAAGACTACTGACTCGGTCGGTTGCAATCGATGCAAGCTGATTGGGTTGTATTCCGAAGTGTAGATAATCTACTTTGTAGATATCTGTATTCCTATTTCCTATGGTGCCGTTTTTTTTCCCACCACCTAATCTAATGTTAAAGTGAGAGCCGAAGTATCTAACCAATTGACCGCTTTGGCGCAATTGTGGTCTGGTATCCCGAATACAACGAACTCTGTAAGCAGCGGTATGAGGCGTAGATACTGTAATTAGGTTGGCCTTGCTGAACGGGGCACGCAACAGAAAGAATTGATGAACCACATGCAAGCGCAAACCCGGATAGTCTGTCTAGATGCCCAAATCGTCTGGAGGAGGGTCAAGATATGACGGGATTGGGTAACCAATTGATAGCAATCACCATACACCCATCTTGGAACAGGGTGCATGGAGCTGCATGTAAGTGGGAGCGGAAGGTGGGGAAGGTATCTTATAACGGGAATATATAGCGACCTACCTCTTTCAAATAAAATAAATAAAATAGCCTCCCCACTAGCTAGAGCAGAGTACCTCTCACTCCAGTATTAACCCACCGACTCATCAATCCGCTCAAAATGACCTCCGCCGTAAGTATCTTGCACACTCCCACTGTCTTCCATGCCAACTAACACAGTTAGTTCTCTCTCAAAGGCCGCACTGCCCTCATCACTGGCGGCGCACGTGGCTGCGGCCTCTCCTTCGCCGAAGGTCTCGCCGAGGCCGGCGCCGACATTGCAATCTTCGACATCATCCCGCCCTCACCGTCCTTCCACACAATTGCCGCCACGTACAACGTCCGCACCGCGCACTACCACGTCGATGTCTCATCCCCCACCTCGCTACAAGCGGGTTTCGACCAGTTCGTGAAGGACTTTGAAGGCCGCCTTGACATCTGTGTGCCGACGGCGGGGATCAATAAGAATGTTAGCTTCCTGGAGACTAGCTATGAGGAGCACCAGAAGCTGCTGGGTGTGAATGTGCTGGGCGTGTATCACACGGCACAACTGGCGGCGGGGCAGATGGTGAAAAATGGGACGAAGGTGGGGTCGATTATTGTCGTCGCGAGTATTGCGAGTTATATGGCGATCAGGTCGCAGAATTCGAGTGCGTACTGCGGGACGAAGGGCGCGGTGAGGGCGATGGTGCCGCCGATTGCGGCGGAGTTGGTGGAATATGTTGGTTTTCCCCTCTTCTCTTTTTTTATAAATTTGGATACTGACGGCAAGGGGCGGGAAAGGGGATACGGGTCAACAGTATATCGCCAGGATATGTGCGCACCGAGATGACGGCACCTTTCCCGCATCTTCTGGAGAGCTGGAAGGGCGAGATTATGAACGGGAGGGTGGCGGAGCCTGAGGATATCAGGGGCGCCTGTGTTTTTTTGGCCAGTGATGCGAGTAAGTATATGACCGGACAGGATCTGTGTATTGATGGTGGGGTTACGAAGTGGTAATGGGTGTGCTTGTTGGAGTTTTTGTTAATGGATCGGCACTGAGTGCTTATTTATGATGTTGAATTGACACTGAGTGATCTTTGATTGCTCAAAGGCTGAGTGATGTTGGGTGTTGAGTTATCCTCTATGACCCGGAACGCTGTGACCCTATATAATCGTGCGGACTGATGAGTGATCCGTTATTGATTTGGAACATAAAGTGACCCTTTATGATACGGATCGATGGGTGGTTCTTTGTGATGTAGAATTCTTAAAAATGAGCTTTGGTAAATCAAAGGGCTGGGTGCTTTTTCGTGTTACAGAACACGGAATGACCCTTTATGGCTTAAATCCGAGTGCTCTTCTGATTACAGTACGCCGATGAGTGAGCCTTGGTGATCCAAAGCATTGAGTGACTCTCCGTGATCCGATGCTGAGTGCTCATTTATGATCCGGAGGAATGAGTGACCTCTTATGATGCAAATACTGAGTGAGTGAGCCTTGGTGACTCAAAATACTGCGTGATCCCTCATGGCGAGACTTTCTCCATGACACACCAACTAACCATAAGAGGATCATATGTATGATTCGAAAGAAAATTTCCCGTTATCAGCAGCGCTTGATAGAAAGCATTATGTAGTTAGAAGAAGTAGGGTGATAACCACTAGTGCCACCGTGCTGCCGCCATAAACGCTGTTACAGTTCAAAGGCCAGATATTTGACTTTCCCGACGACAGCGAGACTGAACACGTCATACAAACACTCTGTCCTGTCCGATCTCTAAATATATATAAGTCAGACCTCTTTCACCAACTGTCTGCCGTCTTTCATACATCCACTTCTTCTACGAACATCCCGTCTTTGTCGGAGTTCGTGCAGTGATGGTAACCCTCTTTCAGGCTCAATTGGGGCATTTAACTTATTGCACGAACCGTCGCGCTTTGCGCCCGACTATTTGGCATATATATATATGCATGTTACACGCTCAACCATCACGAGCATCGTTGGAAAGGAATTGTATAAAGTGCAATAATCCAAGTTCGATTGGTAAGTCATTAACATAATCATCATACAGAATCATAACTAAATACAGGATATCCGGCTAACCCCTCAAACAATAACACAAAAGAAAGAGAAAGATAGAATAATTGACACAGAAAGTATAAGAAAAAAGTCCCGACATCTCATTAAAACTACCTCCTCTTACTCGTACTCCCACTCCTACTTCTTCTTCGTCTCCTTGCTTCTGCAATCTTTCTCCTCTCCCTCTCATCTTCACTGTCCTCGCCCGCCACCGTTGTCGGACTCGTCACTCTAATCTCTGGGTTCATCACCGCCTGGTAATGAATCCCGTTCTCCTCATCCGGATAAAGTGGCTTCCCCACCTTGGGTGGCTTTGGCGGTGATGCCGGAGGCGGCGAGAATAACGGCTGCTCGACAGGATGTAGGGGATACTGCACGATCTGTTCAATGGGCGAGAAAGGTCGCTGCGACGGATGCACCAACTCCTTCTGCCGTGCGTCCGTCCATTCTGCCTCTGCACGCTGAATCTCAGCACTAAGTTCCGCGATCCCAGAAGTCTCCTCTAGTTCCTTCTTCGGTGGTAGCGGAGGCGAGTTGAAGGAGGATGAGGACGACTGTGAGAACGTCGGCCGCATAGGTGTTAGTGCGGTGTCGGGGTTGTTGAGCTTCTCAATCATTACCATCTTACCAGCACACTCGCGCACCAGCTTCGCAGTTTCCCGCATGCCTAGATACCGCCGTGTATTCGTTGAGACATCCGCAAGCCGGTTCCACTCATTCAGTGCAAACTCGCCCACGCCGACTTCGACATTAAAACGGTAGTAGTCTTCGCGAGATACTCCCATCTTGGCGAGCCCTGGGCGACCGCCGTCTTCAGGGTCGATCAGTGCCCGGTGGACACGCTCGCAGTCGTCGAGCTTGGCCATTAGCTTACGCCGTGCTTCGGTAAAGTCCTCAAAGGGCGTTGCGATGATGCCCTCCCACCATGGCTGTCGCTCACCCGTGTTATGGGCGTGACTGTGGTGGTGGCGGGAGTTAGATGCGGGCGCGGGGCCGTCAGGGCGTTTTCCAGTCCCGATAGAGATAAAGACAGAGATCTCGTCATCAGGGTACTCGTGCAAGTGTGCTTCCTCAAGGACCTGCTGCGCGGGGTTGTACCGACCGCTGCCTTCGTCCAGGAATGTGTTCTGTCCGACAGTGATTGGTTTGAAGGCACTGAGGGTTGCGGAGGTGGCACGGCCAGCCTGCCAGATGGTGCAGTTATAGCTGGGGACGGACTCGCCGCGGGAAGGATATGTCCGTAGGAGAGCTGGCGGATTTGAGCTGTTGGGTGGCGTCCCTTTGTACACCGCTGTCACGAACGTCTTGCATGCGCCTGGTCGGGTATCAAGAAGTGGTGCCTCGGCGTTTCCTTGTCCCCGAGTCCGTCGTGATGGGTTACTTGGTGAGCCGCGGCGCCCACGGGTCTGCTCTTGAGAATCGTGTGAGGAACTGCGCCGCCCACGCCACGAGTTTGTGCGCTTATTCTTGATGTGCGGTGGGGGCGGGCTTGGCGGCGGCGGCGAGTGCGGGATGATCTTGTCAAAGTCAAACCGTGTGCTCTCTCGGACACAGTGCTTGATAGCATCCTCCAGGCGTGAAGACTTGAACAGTGTCTTGCCGTACGGGACCCCCATGACGGTCTTGTCGGTGATGAAGACGTAGCGGGTTAGCTCGACATAGTATTCCTTGCATGACTCAATATCCATACGCATGCGCCCGAGCATGAGCGCAATCAGACCGCCCGTACCCGTTCCCCCGATGATGTCAAAGTAGTCGCAAGGGCGAGGAAGCTCGGACGGTGATTTCGGACCCTTTCCGTTGTGCGTCTGCACGTAGATCTGGTGCATCAGTTCGCCCAGGATGACAAGAATCGAGTATCCCCTAATGCCACCGCCATCTAATCATTTCCAATTCACCCGTCAGTACAAGCACATTCCAACCATTCCATCTCTATTTTAAGCCACCAATCGGGACATACCTAACGACAATATGCGCAATTTCCTCTTCGTCTTCACCGGAGTGACTATTTTCGCTGGCTTGGCTCCCTTCTCTTTGCGCTTCTCCTTCTTTCGCGGCCTCTCGCCGTTGTGGGAGCTGGTGGCCGATTTGTCATCGAGGCTTAAGCGCCCGACGTCCGACGAGTCTCCCTCCAGCTCAGCGAAGCCGTGGTGCGTCTCCTTTGTGATGTTGTATGCTCCTGCCTCGAGCTCCTTTGGTGGCAGCGGTGGCGGCGGGGGGTGCGATGGCCGTTTGTCGATGTAGTATGAGGCCGTCGCGGGGTTGTAGCTGTAGCCTTCACGGTATGCGGTGCTCATTGTGTGCGAGATTTTTGATGGATGGCGTAGATACAGAGGGGAGGAAGAGAGAGACGGGGAGAGAGAGGAGGGGGGAGTGGGAATGATATCTATTCTACGATCTAGTGGTATGAGTACATGATAGAGGTAGAGTAATTGGGTCGAAGCTGCAGGTGCTGGCTCGTGAGACATTCAAAACCAGCAAAGCCGCCCACCACCACCACAGGTGCGTAGTTCGAGTCGCACAACTCAAGCGCTGACGACGTTTGCAATCTAGCTTGTGAGTGGACCGGGGACCGGTGGCTGTGTGCCTGGGTCCTGGTACTACTACTCTCTCGGCGTTCGTCATTGGTTGCCACACGTGGCTACCCACCTAAACGAGCCCAAACGCTCACAAACAAACCCACCAGGGTCGATGCTGTCTGCCCTACCGTGGGCTGTGTAAAATTAAACATGAGAGCTTCTTTGCTCTGTTCTACACACTCTACACACTCTGAGTACAACCTAGGTACATGCACCATCACCTACTCAGCTGGCTTCTGCACTTGTTTTACTGCATGTCCCAATCACTCCCCCCGGGCCCCGGCACCCACTCCGTCATCACTCCCATCATATCTATCACTCCCTCTCGATCCCTCCAACAATCGTCAAACCAGATACTCAACCCCCCCTACCCCTTAGCTATCCAGAAACAAAGCAAGCAGGTACCGAGCTCGTTTTCCTGCTTCTCGCTCTCTCGCTCGCTCGCTTGCCGCCCATCCGCCCGCCACCAATGCACTGGCAGGGGTAGTTAAAGTATGATCGTCGCGTACCTAGAGCGCACTCCAGTGCAGGATTCAAATACTTGGCGCACGGCGTGTCACTCGCGACTGGGTGATGTAAGCAATCAGGCCAGGACGATCGGAGTGAACTGAAGTGAAGTGCACTTTAGATTTCATGCGGTCAGCAGAGGAGTTCCTGCAGATTCGAGAGAAGGGCGGACGAATAGGCTTCGTGGGAGATGTCTCCTGCCCTGAAAAATTATCGTGATGCCGGTGAGATCTCACATAACGTGTGGCTGACTATATCATGTAGCTTAGATTGTAGATTGTAGAGCGTAGAGATGCGGATAAAACATTCTCCCGGCTGAATAATGTGCGGGAATTGAGGTGGATTAGGACCCGCGTTTAACTACCATCGATTTAGGGATTCCGAGCAGTAGTAGTGCCAATGGTGACAATTAACGTGTAGGGCGGTGTCTGTAGAAGCACGATTTGCAATCGGACCGTATACATGTTACATGTAACGTTAACCTCCTTACCAATCTCACCCTCTCTCTGCCAATCCCCTCAATTCAAAACTACACTTCCTAGTGGAGTCTACCACGCGCAGCACACCACCGATTGAGGGCCAAGATATGACTCCCCAGAATTCTAGAGTAAAGCCCTCACGTTGCGGCTGAGTGACCCAGTCCAAGCGATCCAATCAGCAGAGCCGTCGTTGACGGGGATCCCCGGTAGAGGAGGAGCCAAGGTTGATTTTTTAAGGTTTGGCTGCGTCTGACCATCTCGAGGATTAGAAATACCTTCCAGAATAGAGCCCTTACTAGCCACAGCAGAGTTAATATATCTCATACGAGAAAGGGCACTCAAGGAAAACTTCACTTACTTATCCATCCCCATTGCGCAACCAAAACACAACTCTTTCTCGATCTATAGATAAATGACCATACGATATCTACGTATCCCATTACGACCCGCCCCGAATATAGCATCACAACCAGCATCCATTACAAATGTTCGCGATGCCGAGATTCCCGGAGGTTGCACGTGACGTGGCGAACGCGCGTATGAGTCGAGTGAGGGGCCATGACTCCACCCCGCGGAATACCTCGCGGAATACATACGGGGGTGGCAGGTGGAGAAAGGATTCTATACGGTGTGCTGGAGTTATGGTTAAAGCTAAAAAAAAAAGTGGCCCCCATCGGAGGAGTGTCCGGTTGTGTAGTCGCTCCCGGTAATATTCCGTGCCTGGATAGATCTGCGCCGGGGGTTACGATTCGGCTGGGTGGACGAGCAACCTCCGGTCGTACGTAAGACCAGAGCAGGTCAAATCGGGACGATGATCAAATTAGGCTGCAGCACTACCCAAAAGCCCCGACCGGCCTCGGCGCGTGTCAAATGCGGGGTGGGTGTTCGGTGTAGTTAGTCAAGCCACGCAGCGTTCTATGTGACGTTTTCTGGTGTTATAACCACCAAGAACCACTGGTGACTTACTTTAGTCCATCCGATAATGCTGTCGCTCTAGGACACGGACAAGCGTTATTATAACGTCTGCCGTCCGGTTATAATTATGTTCTCATCTCTGCCTGTGGGTATTCATAAAGACCACCGGAAACGATAATCATACTATCGAGGTCTGCTAGAAAACATTGTATCTTTCCAGGCGATGGATGATGGGGTAGTTGTATTCATTCTCCGAAGATAAGCCAGCAGATAGGAGGTTTCAGGCTCTTAGTGTTCTGATTCGTCCATATCGTGGGCCTGTCTCGGGACTGTCTCGGGATCTTACTCATTCTCTGATAGGAGGATGGAAGGGTGATGGTTGGATTTCTCGGTTAACTTATATGCCACAAAACGAACACCTATTCTCAACTGTTTACCTCCACGTAACCTCTGTAACCCGTTTAACACCTAAGTAAATAATCCGTCCTGCAAAGGTTCCGAGTTACACGATAATCCTACGGTCTTGAATTTACTAGAGTGCTATGACTCAACAGCTTTGGCATCCAGAAGGAGTTCCGGGCAACAAGGCGCAGAGACAATGGAATCATGGGTCATCACTCGGCACCGTTTCTTCTTCGTGTCGATAAGCAACCAGATGCAAGTCCCCCATAGTGCATGTCGATGCGGCTTAAATAAGCCATAAAAAAGCGGAATCAGTTTGGTGCGTTGTAGTTTAATCAACCCCCGTTACAATAAGAATATGAGAAACCAACCCGGCACCAAGTTGCGTGTTCGGCCTCTGAGCTGTCTTGCACATGGGATGGACCTTGTGCCATCTATTCGATCTTGATCTAGTTGTACCAGTTTTAGGATGGGTATGGATGATACTAGACTGTATTCAATCAACTGTTGCCAAGACTTTCACGCGAGTGATACAATATGATTCCATTGTCACAGCAACAAAAATTTCTCAAACTCAAAACTTCAAAATTTATTTTCTCCCCCCCCAAACTCTCACATGGGTATAACCAAATTAAGCTAAACTAAAGCAATTCACTCCAAACCCCCCATTTAACAAGTGCCCAAAGCCGCAGCGGTGGTGCTGCCCAACCCAACCCAAGCCCTCATGGCGTTGATGATCGTGATATCTCTGTGCACTCTGGTGTACTTTCCAGCGGTCAAAGTGTACGAGCACGCATTCGCCACATAGGCGGTATCCTTTGGCACACCCAAGCATCCGGAGGTGCTCTGGGAGCCAGTGTACAAGGAGCAGTCAGAGAGACCGTCGGGGAAGCCGGCGGCGCCGTTGTCCATGAACATGTAGGAGGAGAGGACGAGCTTGATCTGCCAGTCAGCGTCGGTGCGGGAGAAGAGCTGGACCTCGAAGGCGCGGTGCTTGGCGGCGTCTTTGTCCTTGATGAGGACGGAGCCCTTGTCTTGCATGTCACGGGATGAGGAGCCCTGTTTAAGATAATCTGTTAGCATATCTACTCATCACGTGAGGTAGGGAAGAGGGTGCTTACGGCATTCTGCTGGTCATGGTCATCGTTCTGGATCGCGAATCTGGAGGCTGGGATAATCCACGAGCCACAGATGGGCATCTCCTTGGGGTAATCGGAACTCCAGATCTTGACCTTTGCCACATCGGCATCGCTCAAACCAGCGGCCTTCAACTTGGTATCAAAGTTAGTGTACCACGACCACTCTCCGCCATCACAAGCCAATAGCGAAGCCTCTCCTCCGAGGATGACCTCCAACCAGGTGATCCAATCAGCTGGCATGGAGCCTCCTAGTTTTTTCCTGACAAGGCCGAGGATTGTGGCTGTAGAGGCGGGACCAATATGCTTGGCGGCATCCATACGGAAACCGGAGAAACCGATTGACATGAGGTCGACAAGGTAGGTTGCAATACGGTCCTGGACATACGCCTTCTCGGTGTTCAAATCGGTGAGACCAACAAGCCATCCCTTGGTAATGATGTTGCCGTCGGTCCAGGAGCTGAGGGATCGCTCGCAGTGGAAGTCGGTGGGACCGTAAGGAACAGAGGGGAACTCGAGGGTGGGGCGGGTGCTAGTGAAGGGGTTGATGAGGAAAGTGTTTCTGGATACGTTAGCGGAATTATTCATATAATGAATTATGAGAAAGGAAATCTACCCAGAAGTGAAGTATGGGGAACCATCAGTGGCGTTGTGACCACTGTACAAGTTGCAGTCACTAACTCTGTGGTTCTGCATATCTACAGATTGTTAGTTTATTATTATCCAAAAGATACCCGAAAAGACTGCTCTTACCAGTTCCCTGACCAACCATATGGTTCGCCACAGCATCGGCGTAAACTCTGACACCTGCGGTTCTGCACGCCTGAATCATAGCCCTCAACTCAACCCTGGTTCCCATTCTAGAGTGCAATCTGTACGAAACAGGCTGGTAAACAAAGTACCACGGCCTGAACTGGTTATCCGTCTCATAGTAGTTGCTTCCCCAGACATGCTCAGTGGGGGGCCAAATCTTGACACCCATGTACCCAGCCTTTCCAAGGAATGAACACTCAGACGCAATATCATTGTATGGCCATCCAAACAACTCAACAATACCACCCTTCTGCCCGTTGTTGAAGGTGCTCAAAGCAGCGGTCAGTGCCGCATTCTGCCAGATGAAGTTCAACGGCTCAAGCACGAGCTTCTTTCCACTGGAGGAGGTGACGGTGATCGCAAGAGTAGATGTAAGGGAGGAAGAAACCTGGAAGCTATTGCTCGACTGCGAGTTACCACCGAAGTTATAGGTCAGGGTCTCTCCTGTCCTGCTCGCGGCATTGAC